TGTTTTGCTTTAAAATTAAGAAACCACTGCCAGGATAATAATTAAAAACCAGGTTGAACAACCTAAATACTAATTATATACTTTAATACTACTACCATTTTTCTTAAAGCTGGAACAGTTTTGAACATGCCTAAAGGTTTTAAGTTGGACCAGTTCTGCATGCGCCTTATGGTTCTATGTTCAGTTCAAATCTGAAAATAGCACATTGGATCAAATATTGGATGTACTCAATTAAAGTACAAGCTGATTTGATATCACATGAGTTTGATTTGTTTCCGCTGTGTTGCCCTCACACTTTCTTGGTTCAATTTGTCATTCCATTTCACAGCTACTAGAACCCACTCAGTCATTATTGCTGGTGCCTTTTTCAGGGGTTGAGCTTTTATTGGTGCAGTAATTACCACAGTAAAGACTTTAATTAATTGGAATTTTTAAAAGTTTCATATCATACACCCTCCCTTCTTCTTTGTGAACATTAACTATTATGATAATAGTTGAATAGGCTACTGTTTGGAGACTGAGGTTTTGGTCTAAATTAGGCAAATTTCTTTTAATTTTAGAGTGAAGTATTATGGGATTATTGATTTTTGTTTAAGGATTATAGTGAGTAAAAGTTTTGAGGAGAAACAATTTCACTTTAATTAAAAAGATTGATAAGTTGCCAGGAGACAAGTGTAAACAATTTTTTGGTTTCTTAAATCCTGAGGTATTGACAGAAGAGAGCTGTGAGCCTGAAGTCCTCTACTCATTGCTTAGCCAGGGGGATGTTTCACAATATATATTTAAGTCTATATTTAATAAAATCTTTTTGACCAAAATTTAATACTCTACTATGACCCAAGACAAATAATTGGAATTCCAACCAAATGACAGAAAGTTTATTAAAAATTTAGACCAAAACTTTCTCTGTTTAAATGGAATACATGTACTCTCATTATGGTTTTATCCTGAACTTTTTTTCAGGCTAAAGCTCTTTTGTGAAATGGTCCCTTACCCTCCAAGCCATCTATCCATTAGGACAGAGATTTTTAAAACAGCTGATAAACATCCCTCTTTTTTCTTCCTTATAAGACTGGGCATGTCGAGCAATGAAATTTCATCCCTGGGCCGAGGAATTTGTAATTTGTCTCTATAAGATTTCAGTGGGACTAATACTTTAGTAGGGGCTGTTGAAAGGAAGTGATTTAGATATATGTAAACAGTTGCATTTATTTCCAGCTCTAGATGAGCTGTGACAGCATAGGGCTTTGAAAGGCAGTTTATAAATATTTGAATTACATTTTTTTTAAAGCCTCGGGTGCTCTGTAGAAGTAACGAGAATTGATAATAAGACTATTGTTGCTGTTATTAATATACATGTGTCAGTGAGTGTATTTAAAGGGATAATAACTCTTCGTTTTGGCCAAAAAATGAATTTTCCTGGAGTAAACAACAATTTTTCCATACTTACCAATGGTTAATGAATCCATTTTTACATTCAAAGTTAGTCCCTGGTTTTTTTCTAAACAGTTTGGTTTTTTGTTAAAATCTCTTAAGAGATTATAACTGAGTACAGCCATCAATGGAGGTCACGTGATCTGAAGACAAGCTCAGATATCTGAATAATAGCTATAACTGCCGTTTTTGTGGTAAAACAGAATATGTTATATTTCTATGAGTTGTTCACAATGTTTTTATTGTGAAATATAGATATCATACGAAGAGTTATTATCCCTTTAAGTTTTGCATTTTATCTTTTAAGATAGTTGGATTTTCATTGAGCATGATTCATTTTACCAAAGGTGAATAAGTACATATTAGGGTCAAAAATAAAAGTAAAGTGCAGTTTGTGTGAATTCTTAAACAAATGAAGAAATTGCTTGCATTACCTCCTGCAGAGAGTCACATGGTACATCTATGTAATACTCTATAGTTAAAAATATGAATGGGATGGCACTTTGATGCAAAATAAGACACATTGAAATGCTCTAAAGACAAAATAAATAAATAAATAAAATAAAAATCATGAATGTGGTGTAAGTAGCCCATCTTGATAGATTTAATGTGAATGTATGTGTGCTTGCTCACATGCTATTGCACAAATGTTTATCTACGCCACCCCATAGCTTCAGATGTTACTCTTAACCAGAACACTTAATGGGCGTGCTCGTACCTGTAGCAGAACTGTTGCCATGGTAAACGGTTATATTTGTACATTGTATCATTACATCTTGGTATAAAAAAAGTGCCAGAGCTCTTCAGGCCACCCATGTGTGTGTGTGTATTGCAGCTTCGATCAGTTTCATAGAGGAAGCCATTTGGAATTTTTAGTTTGTGGCAGATCTTGGAATTTAATGGGTATTTCTGTGAGGCTGCGGTATGCTTGTTTCAGCACATGTTGGCTTTGTCACTCAGTTGTCATGAAATTTTATATTTCAACTGTTTGTTTAACAAGACTCCCATTAAACAACTAGTAAGTATATTACAAGTAAATGTCTTCTTATAACAAGAAGGAAGTCAACTTCAATACAACTTTCTCATTGTTGATTTTTCCAGGTGATATCAGGGTTGTCACTGATGATCATTGGATAATTCCCTGGAAGTAATTGGATGTGAATTCCTGGAAACTCAATATGGATCAGTACAGTCTTTTAATGATTGCTAATTCTTTATAAACACCATTCCAGAAGGAGAGAGGTAAGAAATTGGCAGAGTTGTTTTCTCAAGGTTTGGATAACAGTTAAATTAGTTTATTTAATTATAGGATTGTTTGATCAAATGTTTAAGAATTTAAACCATTAAGTGTTTTAATTTAATGTTATTTACTTGGTCTCTTTAAAGTGACCCAATCCAATAAAGATGTAAAAACGTAATCATTTGTGCGTTACTTTTGCAACACTTTTTTTCCTGTTTATAATCAGACAGTTTGCATGGACTTATATAGTATTGATTTCCAGGCAGTGAGACTTACATGTAGACATTCACTGGGGCTTTAAATGGTCCATTCATCTCTCTATGCACCGCTGACCAACATATTAATTCTCCACTGTGTAAATGTTATTTGTGAATTATTGCAACAGATTGCATCAGAGAAGCTAGTAGTTGAGCATTGTAAGTTGTGATTGTGTTTTTGAGGGTAGTTGTCTAAATTGGTGACCACAAATTGATATACAGTAACATCCCACAGAGAGAGAGAGAGAGAGAGAGAGAGAGAGAGGGGGGGGGGAATGAGAGATGGAAGGATGGATGTCCACTTCCTCCATTAAATAATGTATACACTGTGAAATTTACATCATCAATGTATTATATTGTTATCACAGACAGTGCACACAAAGCTTAGCTTCCTTTTTATTCCACTGATAATTAAACCACACTTTGGTGACTGGAGACTAAGACAGTTAAATCACACTTTGGTGACTGGAGACTAAGAAATAGCCAGCTCTTAATTGAACACGCACCAAATCATGATTGGGTTAATTGATGATCTACTGTTAATGAATGCCTCCTGGGCGCAGTTAAAGGAAATGTCTACAGACATTCTGGCGACAAGACTGTGTGATTAGTGGCTTGTTCAATGAAGCGAGAAAATACTGGCTTATGCATTCTTGGTTGAAGATATTTAATTCAATAATGACAGTGATATCTTTATTGATACTAGCACAAGGTTTACAGTGCCTTTGACCTAATTACATATATGATGATTATATATATATACTACAATTTAATGCTTGTAAAGCTTTATTTTAATTGCATTTTTAACATAACACCTTAGGCTAAAATTAATCATATACAGTAAACATACTGTCTTTCACATTTTTCATTATTACACATTGCAAAACATCAGATGATATATTTAGTCTCCATGAATCAAATGTCATTTCCCTACAGACAGCGGAAAAAGACAAATAGGTGTACTGACAGTGCATTATTAAAAATACAAATAGCTGTTGCTTTTAATCATTCAAGTGTGGTACACACATTAAACGAGATGCATGTTGCCATTTACACTTAGATTAGCAAGAAAGACAAAGGCAGTTAATGCGTCTTGGTGTCTTAACTCGCTGAGTTCTGTAATTATGCGTTAACTGTTAATTTGTTCAGGGCCGTTAAATGGTGTTTTGGGGAGATACTTAGCTGCATTAAAACAGATGATCATGACATGAGAGAGAGAGAGAGAGAGAGAGAGAGAGAGGAGCAAAGAGAAGGAGAAGAGAAAAGGCAGGTAGAAGGTAAAGAGAGTTCCTGGGGTAGCGCTAACACTCGCCAATTTAGCCAAATGCTAAAACTGACTTAAGTTGGCTAAACAAAAATAATAATAATANGGACTTGATTTGACAAATTTTAGTCCAATTAAAACCATTTTCATTACAAATTGACAAAAAATTGATGATTTGGCTAAGCAAAAAAAAAAAATTGTAAGGCTACCCCAGAGTGGGAGTGAGGTTGGAAGAGAGAGAGAGAGAGAATAACAGAAAGACAAGGAGACAGAGAGAGAGAGAGAGAGAATACAAAGAGCCAGCACAGTTATGTGGGGAGGGAGAAGAAGCAGCATATTGGCTCCAGGACAAACCGCCCAGTTTTTAATTGATGTCCATGTCACCCCTCAATTGACCTTGCTTTGAAAACATTGCCAGATTTGAGAAAAATGAAGATGTACAATACAGACATGATGTATTGATTGTAGAGCACTGTGCATTTCATTTGGCATGATGACACTTTTGTTTTTGTTAGGAATTTAAAACGCCCAGGCAACTTTCTTGTAGTAGTTAATTTTTAACCACTGACAGTTACAGAGATCTCTTCCAAAGCAGGCAAGATAAGATACAGTGAAGACCAATTTCACGAAAGGGTTTATAAATATATTTTATCCTAACATAAAAGTATCTTGAAAAAGAATCAAGCAAGCAAAAAGAATAACAATATGGGGAAAAGAAAGCCTGGAAAGAGCAGAAACCATGGCTGGTTTAAAAGAAAACAAGGTGAGGAAAAAATACATTGTTTGCATTTTAGAAAATATTTTAAATTGAAAAAATAACACCAAGTACTGCTTCAATGTAGCTTTTTAGTATGGGCTAATTGAAGAAGTAAGTCTTTCTTTCCACACCCTTCATTAAATATTTTGTTCCTAAAATTTACACATCAACCTCAAATCACATATGTGGCACGTGGTCTTCAACCAGATGTTCACAATCAACATGGTGTAAATATTTCTATTGAACCAGTTGACATTGATAAGATGCTGCTGCTCACAGAGATATTATGGTAATTACTCGATCTCTTCAGTTTGGGGAGATTGTGCATTTTACAGATATTGTCCTTCATTCAATCATAATTTCTAAAAGTTAGAACGTTCCTATCGAGTTGTTGCTGTAAAATTTAAAAGCAAGCCACTTTTTAGTTCATTTTTATGCAATAAAAGCACCACTAATGCTATGTAGAAATGTATTTTTGGGATCATGAAATTATGTATCTCAAAGTTTGATAATTTTTGCCCATCAAAAAGATTGAGTAATTACCATAGACAAGTCACCATGAGTCTTGTGTCTGTAATAAAATAATCATGTACATGTATATTAGCAGCAACACATGTACAGCACTCTCAGCATAGTGAGGCTGCGTCAGGCCAGGCACGTGCCTCTTCTGAAAATTTTCCAAATTGAATTTTACTGATAACATTGGTCCGAGGGAGTTGGGGGTGTCAGGAACACCCACTTTTTAGCTATGATGTATTGAGAAATATTGTAGTTTATCTGCACCCTCGCTTTGCTTTCTATATATAATCATATCTTTATTGCACTCCAAATCTCTGGTATATGATGTCATTTGACCTGTAGTCTCGTAATAACCATGATTGGTTAATATGTAACATATTGTTATCTTCTACAGGTTATGGTAGAACTGACAGTGCAAATATACATATTGATTTATCAATTTGATTGCCAATTTTATCAACAGATCATAAAACCACTAGTACATTTTAAATAGCTATTCTGGCATATTCCAAACATTTCTGTATATGGTTTCACTCAAATTGATCTGATAATATATATATTATATTTGGAAGCGTAGATAATTACAGGGGTGTCTAACATGATCGTTCTAGTATGTTATCATATATAAAGTCTAGGTGACAGATAAATATTGACAGCATTGATAATAGATAGAAATAGCTCTCCATTTTGACCCTTGGACACATAAAGGGGGCACTTGGTCAGTTCATAGCATGACCAGGCAGTGCTAGGACTATGGTAGGTAGAGGAGGGATATATGGGGTTTCAAATAGTTATTGAGTATAGTGTGTGTGAGTGATATACAGAGAGAGGAGGAAGGAACAGAGAGGTAGAAATCCCACCAGAAACCTTGCTGTGATGTAGATATTTTAAATTAATTTGTTTCGTATTTTAGAAAAGAACGGGTAAAAGTACAGACCTCTGTATTGTAACCTATAATGCCTTTTGAGGTGTTGGATACAATGTGAGATGAAAAAAAATCTGATATCATAATTTCTCATAAAAGTTTATGAATATGAAGGGTGTTATCAAGATAACAAAGGAGACACATCTTTGAATGGCATCTGTGGCACAAACTTTCACCAAGCCTAATCGCTATTATCTAACAACATCATGCAATTGATGAAGTCATCTGCAACTATTTTAAGAGCAAAAATCTGTCACATGCATGGTCACCATGGTAACCAACTTGCATGACCTTAAAAGTATCTGGGGGAAAAACAGATGTTATGGAAAGGGAAGGAATTTGACTTCGAGAGAGCGTTCTCTTGAAGATGATTGGTTCTTTGTTCTCCCTTACAGTATATTAATGGATTATCAATGCAAAACCTGGTATTTATAGAAATGAATTTAATTATTTGGAAGGGTGGAGCCTATGAAAAGCCGTTAAATGTCCACAAGTCATGTAATGCTTGCAGGTTATTATTGAAGATGACACATTTTTATTGGCCTTTCAATTTGTCATCTAAACCCTTACAAAGCAGCTTTAATTAGCTGAATGAGGTTTTGTTACAAGATGGTGTCTCATGTCACACAAGTTGGAAGGCAATACATGATGCACGGACATCAGCATTAGTATAATAATATAAATTCTACTTGTGACATTCTGATTGTCACTGAGATATGAACCTATCAGGTGTAAAGAGAGAGAGTTAGGAATAGTACATGACATAAAGCACATGCTCTTGTCATGTTAATTCTCAATTTTCCGTTGATTAATACGGAGAAAACAAGTAGCAGGATGCGGATGCTGTCATTGGTCTGAGGATGTGTGACTTTCAAGACATCTTTCTGCTGCAATATGCAGATAAAGCAAATTAGTAAGATGAATGGTGTCATTACACTGTGACAAACATGTGACCGGCACATTTTAAGCTGGGATTGTTGGCAGAGACACTGGTAAAAAAAATGTGAAGCAGTTGCTTGGACAGGTGACTGAACCGTTGGTGCCCTTTACACGACTGCATCGGGAGTGGTCAAGACTGACCTTAACTGGTGGTCACTTGGCTGTTGTCTTTGGTTGTGTGAGGATGGGTGGAGGTGATAGAATGTCATGGGGGGCATTTGGTTGTCTGCTCGCCACAGTAAGGAGTGGTGATCCGAGGTGGTTGCTCTACAATTATTGTCTGTGTTGCTTGAGTACCACCTATGTTTCCCTCGGCATATATTTTATTTAGTCTAAAAAAGCTCAAACATTTCAACAAGTCAAAATTTCAGGCAAAGTGGTACAGGGACAATATTTTCATTATATTTTTCACTTCATTAAGACTAGTGAATTTTCCTGTGCTTTTCTTGAACTTGCGGAGAGCCTAGCATAAACCGATTTAAGACTTGTGCAATGTTGTGGACATTGGAGGCAATTTGGTTTAGACTGACTACTTTCTGTAAGGACTAAATCATCTACATAGTACCTGAAAATAGCAGGTCTTGCTGTAAATTCATGGCTGGGTGGTTAAGAACAATTTGACCAATGCCTTGCAAAAACACAGCCCAAAACACATGTTTAGAGTGGACAAGGGTCAAATAAGTTGACAAAAGAGAGAGCGGAAAAAGTTGCCATTTCTGGACTGACCATTGCTGATTGAGTGACTGAGGTTCCATAATGATAAAGAGCGTGTGTCGTCGTGTGACCCATGAGGTGAAACACAGTTCCTCATTCTATACCAGTAACCCCATGCTGTATGTCTCTCATTATTCAGAAACAATCACAGTCACTGCTGGGAATGACGACAACAGTAACATTGAAATGCTGATGAAACAACTGACGAGCCAGCGCGAACTGGTGGAGAAACTCGACTCAGAGCCTCTCTTTGAGTACCTTGTTCAAAATGGCGTCCTTGAGAAAGGAGTGGTTGATGAGATAAAGAAGGAGAAAAGTGCAGCCAAGGTGAATCTTGCTTTACTCCGACATCTTGAAAATTCCACCCCGAAGGAGTTTGGACTGTTCATGAATGGCTTGCGCCAAACTGGACAGCATGAACTGGCCAACCTGTTGGATGATGGGAAAAGAATACGGCCTTCTGGGAGCCCAGGTAAGATCTCACACTGTATGACTTTTAATAATATGTGGTCCAGAATCATGGAGGCATTAGACTACTTTACCATGGTAGTACTAGTACCTGTATACTAATCCTTTTTGTACATGGTTTACCACATCACTAGTAAGTATTTCTATAAATTAAACAGTGGCCAAGCATATTTTTTACGTCGGATATAAAACTGAATATTTCAGTGCTGTGGGAAATTGAAAACCCATTTGTTTGACCAACAGCATGCAGCCTTCACTAAAAATTCATGGAAATATTATCTATCAATGTGGCATTGAAAAGCATTTTTCCCTGTAAGTTAGAATCCATGCAAGTCTTGCCTAAAGGAAAACAAACTAAATGGATCTGTCGTAGTATCCTAGCTTTGAACTGATAGGCTCTGTGGTGAAAGGCCACAGCATAAAGGAAATGCTATATTTTACCATTTTTATGAATTATTTCCTTCTAAACAGCATTTGACTGTCCACAGGTTCTGTTGAGAACTGGACTAGTACAAATCTTGAACTAACAAATACATTTTTCATTTTAGATTTCATGGGCAAGGGAAGGCAGAAAGGTAGGTGTTTTCAATTTTAAGGAGAGCGACTGTTTTTTTCTTTTTTTTTTTTTTTTTTGCTGGAGGGAGTTAGGACTGTGTGACATTAGTGACATGAAGATGCGACAGACTTTAAAAGATACATTAACCTTTGGATGCCTCTGTTGACCCTTAAAGATATGTTGACATTTTACTGTCATCCTGGGACCATATGCCAAGAAGGCGTTTGTTCAATATGGGAATATTGTAATCCAAATGGTTTTTCATACTGTATGGTATATATATATATATATATCTTTTTTTTATGATGGAGCAATACTGGTAAATTTTGATAACTTAATAGCCTGTCTTTTAAATAAGAATGTCATCTAAATAGTGCTCTCTCTTCTTTCTACCCCCTCCATGACATAGCCAGTAAATTAACTCCTGCCATTTGGAAGTGAACTTCACTATTTTGTTTTGGGGTTAAGTTCCTTGTAGGATAAAAACATGACCAAAACCTCCCAAAAACTTACCTGCATTTATAACTTGCATTTATATTGCTAATTAAGATGTTATGCTCCATGCGAGAAGGCTTGAAGAAAACAACTGTGTGAAAGAAGCTCTTTTCTACTTTATTGTACAAAGCACACTCTTACATATAATGTTTTGTTCCTAATGACTGATATGTAAGCTTTAAAGCTGCAGTGCAGATAACTGTAAGGACATAGTTACACCTAGTGGTTGTAAAATGACACATATTGAAAGAGAATTATCTGTTAATTCATTGTCTGAGCTAGTACCATGCCAAGTTAGACATTAGNCGAGCTCTTAAATGCTCACCAGATGTCGCCACACACCTGTTTTGCACACAAAGCAGAGAGTGAATGTTCTGCACAGCTGATGCACATTAGTATTGAAGTCTGGTATTGGGTGTGGGAATAATAGATAGTATTAGTTTCACATGCTCACCATTCCTCCTCTCCCAGCTCACTTTTTCTCTTTTTCTCTCTTAAATTAATTTTTTTCCATTCATTTTTGTCACCAATAGAGATGAGTTTGACAAAAGATAAATTTGAGTTCTTTATTATTATTATTATTTATTAATTTATTTTTGTATTTTCAGGACAAGTCTCCTTAAAGATATTGGTTAATGGTGTGAAGATAGACCCCTCCAAAGAACCAGGCTTGTCTTGCAGCAAAAGAGAGTGGCTCCATCTGGAGGACATTAAGCCAGAATCTAAACCTTTGCCCAGAACACGTTCCATTGAGCTAATGGAGATTCAGGATATAAGGGAGGATCAAAAAAGTGTCAAGAAGAAAAGTTCAAAGTGCCTATGTTTTTGTTTTATGCGATCTTTCACCAAGGGAAGCAAGAAGGAGCGAAAGAGAACAGAAAGCTACAGTGCTTATGTGGTTGGCAATGGCAACAACCACAGTGTGCCACCTGGTGGCCAAAAGGACAAGACTGGCAATGAGGGCAAAAATGGTGCACATCCAGACACTGATGGTGCTATCACTAATGGCAACGGCCAAATAACCAATAGGAACCAGCCTCCCAAAACTGTCGACCCAGCCTTAAAGAAAGTCTTTGAAAATAAATCTGAATTATTTTACAAAGAAGTTCAAGAGGCTTCCTGTCAGACCCATGTGGATTTTGTCAAGTATTTGGAACAGATGAGGGGGATCCTCTTCATGCAAATTAACACTGACAGTGACCTCTCTGTGATTTGCATATGCATGAAGTTGAGTCAGCTGACCCAGCTGAGACAAGATTGGAGGAATGGTAACCTCTTGAAAGATGTGGAGAGTTGTCTCGTTAATGATACAATCTTACAAGTCATCGGTGCAAAAGGATTGAAACTCCAAGTAGAACTTCAGGAAGAGGAACTTAATTTTGCTGAGCAGGAACTATCAACGTAAATATCCCAAAGATGTTGAAATGTGCATTGTTGTAGGGAGAATTTCACAAATATTTGGAGCAAATGATTTGCAATTTGAATCCGAACCTTTTTTGTGAATTGAATTGATAATAACTGAATTGTCACAAAGAAAGTTTTTCTCTGAGAACAGTCTTAAGTTTTATATTGACAAGGTAGAGATAGAGAAGAATTTGTAGCACTATGAAAAGTGAAAGTAGTAAATAAAGTGCTTTGATATGGAGTGGCTTTCAGGAAGGCTGATATATACTCAAAACTAAAGTAACATTTTTCTTAAAGAACAGATATACTTATTTCCACAGCTGTCTGCTATTTCAATGTCTTACGTGATCATCCAGAAACTCTTCTTGTAACTTATAAAAAATACATGAAACAGCAGCTAAAATTCTTTGCTGGCCATTGTGTAAAATTTAGATTTCTGACCACAGCATTACTAGTATAAACATGAGTAAAATATTAGCTGTTTTTTTTTACACCGAAGTCATGCTTGTTAAGTATACAATGATACTTTGTCAGGGTGTACTATCGTGTTAGTGCATGTTTACGGCTATCTGTTTGAGGCCCACTTACATATCAAGAAAAAATATTTATGGTCACTTTCAGGTAGTAGAATAGAGTGCTTTCAAATGTGGCTCTGCCATTTTGGAGCAAAGGGTTCTTCATAATAATAAAAATAATAATAATAATGATTGTAGTAATTTGTGTAATGTTTTTGGGTTGGTTTTTGGCAAGTTTAGTTTCAAAGTAAGAAGACCAAGGTGTCATTAAATAGTACCATGCAATATTATTAATATTATTTATATTTGTTTTAATAACTAAGTGTAAATCAACAAACTTCATGTAGAAATAAGTCAAGGAAATATCACGACTGTAGAAAACACAACTGTTAATAAATGTTGCTAATCATATAAGGTCATTTAACTAAGTACTAGAATATCTATTGCTGCTGTGTGGATGTCATAACACATGTCACAACTCAGCAGAGAGCATCACTAGCACATAGTAAAAACATTTGTTACAATCTTGGCTGTGTGACTGGATTTTGGAAAAGCATTTGATAAAGTAGAATATGGAATGGGTTATTGAAATTTGGGGAACATGTCATGAACACCCTCAGCAGTGGTTTCATGTTATCCATGACAGAGGTCATGCTTGGCATGACTGAATTATGATGCAAGATATATATGCAGGCCAAGAGAAGGGAGATCCTTCAACAAAGATTTTATCACATATATTTAAGGAAAGGCTTGGAAAATGCTTAAGTGATGTGCAAGTGGAGCACATAGTTTAAGAGTTTTGCTTAGTAAGTTTCATAGTTTCTGAAACCACACATAAACACACTTTTATACATTGCTTTGCTGTGTGGTAAAAGTATTATTTTAGGTTTAACTTATCTATAAGTAATTTTAAAACAGTATATGTTCAAGTGGTGCTTAGTTATTTATTGCATGGTTTTGTTAAGGACAAACAGTTCAGTTGATGAAATAGGCCACATTAATAGCAGCACTTTTGCTTGTCAAGAAAGGATGTAGTTGATATTATTTAACACTACTATATGTTCAAGGTGTGCTTAGATATTTATCACATGGTTTTGGTCAAGACCAGCAGTTGCCTTTGGTCCTCAATTGATACACACCACGTGAATAGATGGCATTGTTGCTTGTCATGAAAAGATGAAGTATACAAGGCAAAAATATTCAAATTTTTAGCATTTGCTTTGGTAAGTGCCTTAATTTTAAATTGGTCTTATAATTTTAGATATGGCTTGGTTCTGACATGTTTCTTATATTAATCAAAATAGTATGAAACTCACAGCTTAGACCGTTGCACTGCAATATCTGATATAGCAGTTCCTCATATTGGTGTTGAATAATATTGATATGACGTCATTCCATATCTAAACAGTAACTGGCTTTTACCAAAAGACGTCCTGTTCAATGTGGTTCAAGTTCAACTCAATATTAAAAAACCATTGGAATGGTTGAAAACTATAAGACCTGTATCTGTTTTTTTTTTCTGTTTTAATGCTGACAGATCTATATAAATTTAAGATACTAGCATAGTCAGTAATATTAAACTTGATAAAAAACTTCTATATTCCTTTCTAACAATCTACTGAATTTTGTGGCAAATATATTTTCTCAACCACAAATGGGCCACAAAAAAAGAAAAGAACCCATTGCTTGTTCTCAAAAACTTGGTGCAGGTACAAAAATTTGATCTTAATCAAAGCCACTAGTACCAGTAACAATTCATCTATTTCTGATGATCTGAAATTGAAATTCCTACGGAAAGCTACTTACTTGTAAACATCGGGGGGATCCATCATTCCAATGTCCACCAGGTAGGCGCCAAATCGGAAGGTGCCGGCATAAATGAAGAAAATTATGCCTTGGGAGAAACCATATGCTATGCCATAGAATTGGGCCTGTTTCAGGTTTTCTCTGGAAATTGACAAATGCAGGATTATGATTAACATGAATATGCACGAAGTTGACTTTTGGTCAACTGAAGGAAATTTAACTATGGCGTTCGTTAAACATTTGCACTTGGCGCACATTAGCAAAAGTCATTTTTTCTCCCATTTACACTCCAATTCTCGCATTAAATAGAACGCAAAAGAAGGTTTAAGGATACGTCTAAGACTTCTTTAATTGAACGTAATCAGAGTTTCAGATGTTAAATTGCAAACGTTGTACTTTTTACCTGAACGGCTGAAGTAGTTTATTACAATAACCATCATAAAACGTGGGTTCCCGCGTGAGAGACTGAACTGTGCGGATGTTTTCTATGGCCTCGCTGGCAGTCTGAAATACACACGATTCCAATTTACAGTAGTGAAGAAAAAGCATCTTGCGCCATACATAAGCTCTCCTATAATATCCTCCACCAGGGCCACAGATTTACTTTTCACAGGACATTCACAGATATGTCTTTAGACAAACAGACGGTCATTTTACTGTTGTCCCCATTTTTCCCTGAATAATTTGCCACCCTGGTAGAAAGTAGTGCTATAATGCTGTAGTATTCAACTCCTGCCACGTAACCACATACCATTTCTATGCGAAAGATAAAATTTATTTTAGGTTTGTTCTGTAGTTTAGGTGTATAGTAAACTTAAGTTTTCGCTTCTTTCCTTCGCAGATGCTAGCGTTTCCAGCTAAATCTTTCCACTGTTCACCTTTGCCCAAATATACAAACGCAACACATCGTTTGAACGTCGTACATCCTACGGTCCTTTTAAAGAATTTCATGACCTTAAACTTCTCTAAAAATCAACTTCATGTTTTAAGATACTTTTCCAGACCGGTTGGTCTTACCTTTCCTGCTTGTTCCAGGGCTTCGTTGTCCTTCTTGTCTCTCCCACTAATTGCCTTCATATTCAGGGCACCTGTATATGAGAATATCTAATGCATAATTGTAAAAGAGTAACGCAAAATTCAGTTGTAAAATTCACTTTAGCAAGCCACGACAGATTGCTGCAAGTTACGATTGATTACAGATTTTCAGAAAACCTGTAATATATTAAAAAATTTAATATTAGAAAGTGATTGTGGGGCCGGAGTAAGGTTGCTATAGTCGATTAAAAAATGCAAGTACCATGGTCGCAAACTGTATTTCATAATGCGGTATTACAATCATCCCATGTTTAAAATAATGATGAGCTCCTCTTCAAAAAAAAAAAAAAAAAAAAAGAAAAATTCATTTGGTACCTTATCTAGGGAAGGTTCGACTGAACCCACCTCTCAATTCCTATATATAATCATATTTATCACGCACCTGCAACTGCCATGAGGGGTACGGTCCCGAGAACCAGAAGCGCCAACGCCCAGCCGTAAATGAAAGCGATGGTCAGTCCCCCAATCATACTCACGGCAGACTGGACGATGATACCGAGCCGGACACCAGTGCCCTAGATAAACAGAAATATGAAAACTTGTAAATTAAGAAGATAAATGTACGCCCATTAACCCTGGTGACGGGGTGTGTGGTAGTTCTATCAATAAAAATCTGGTGGTGTCATTTGGTTAGTGCACTTTATGGAAAAAAAGAAAAAAAAACAAAAAAACACTCGCTTAAACCAATGCTACCAACTTAACTACACTGGCTCTTTTGTCACTGAATAGAATCTATACAATCTAATAAGAAAAAAAACTTACAGTTTTGACCAGGGAGGCGTCCGTAGCCAGTCTCGTGGTCAACGCTCCCGTCGCCTGCCTAGGGTCGTCAAACCAAGCGATGTCCTGCCGTAAGATGTTGTCAAACGTCTTAAGTCTTAGCCGCTTGGTCAATTTTTCTCCCGAAACCCCGAATGAGTAGGACTAAAAGATATTTGGAATAGACTTTGTTTTACTGAAGGTAACACTAAAAGGGTTTTACTTGTCACTTCTTTTAAAATTTATTTCCTGTCATAACCAGCTTGAAAAATCTTATTTCTTTCTTTTATTCATGAAACTTAGCGCTGAGATTTTCATTTGATTATCAATGAAGCTGCCAAAGAATGAGTGGAAAATAACTCACGTTGACCAGGACTCCTATAAAGCTGACTCCTCCTAGAGCTAAAAACATCATACTCCAGAATGTAGATTCTCGTAAGAGTGTCTCGCCTGTTTTTGTGTAGGCCTGAGGTATAACATGATTCATTACATGAGATTAATTTTAATAACTAAAATATATTAAAGAAAGGGAAACTGATAGATATTTTATTACTAAAATTGCAACTCCACAAATTATCTTCACACTAAGCAGAATAAAAGACGACAAAGGAGACTGGGATAAAATTCAGCTTAAGATATATACGGTCTGCCCCCTCCACCTCTCTCTCTCTCTCTCTCTCTCTCTCTCTCTCTCTCTCTGTGTGTTTGTGTGTGTGTGTGTGTGTGTGTGTGTGTGGTAGGGTGCTTGCGTGCGTCCGTGCATTTCTTCTGTTTGCTGACCCCTCCTTTCGGACTTTCTACACCTCACTTACAGCTATCAGTTCTCCATAGAAGAAAGCAAAAGCCGGCATCACGCCGCCCACCAGCGCCCCACCAATACAGCCCGTCACGATGTGGCAAGCTTCCGGCTTGTTGAGACGAAGAATTCTGCAGAAACCCGGGAGTACCACTTCTTCTTCCTGAAATACAAATAAATATTTTAAGATATTTTTTCTGAATTTTTTTTTTTGTTATGAACTGCAGATTGAGATTGTCAGATATCCAAAGCATTTTCTACCCTTGGCACCATCAATTTTTAAATCGCTTTATAACAATAATAATTATCCCAACCTGCGAAACATTTCTCAAGTCAGTGCTTAAACCTGATAAAGTGCAGCTCTCATTAAAGTAAAAATAAAAATTAAAAAAGGCCATTTCTTACTTTAGCTTCTTCCTCTACAGTTTTCTTCTTTTTCACCGATGTTTGTCGCAGTACGCCTGGCGTCTGTTTAGAGTGGCTTCTGTGAAGCGACTTAGACCTCATCAATCCCGGCGTCCTTGGGCGCTCACCTTAAAGATGTAGATAAAATAATTATTCATAGTAATTTAACGCTTAAAGATACTCAAGGTGGACAAAGCTTGCGTCTGATCTCACATAGATGGGGAAAATTAATCCGTGGAATTTATTAATAAGTCATATAAACAATCTTGGATCTTAAACACGAAAATTGGACTGAAGAATAAAAGTGGATCACATTAAAAAAAGTTTTAAGTGTCCCCACTAAATATTTTCAATCGTTCTTAAAATACTTTTTTCTCGGTCCATCAGTCACAATGGTATAAAACAACAGATAGATTCAAAAATAAAATAAATTAAACCAGCAGAACTGTCAGTTTTAAATAATTCACTGTGTACCTGAGCCCTAACCTGCCATCGTTTCGAAATACATCGTTTCTAAATATCTAAATGTTATTTCGATTCATCGAGCATTACTCACACACTGGGGGTATAAACCGGTAAATAGTGACAGATAGTCTCCCATGATAGAGAGTCCACTTCTCATTCATTTGTACAGGTGAGCCGCGCTCTAGATTTTGACCCACTTAGGTCAGGCTAACCCTAACCATTATAACTAAATGGAGGGCAGACTTTCTGTTACACGGACCCCCCCCCCCCCCATTTCGTTACACCGGTACCATATCTACCTGAGCGTCCAGCGCCCCATGCCCAGTGTCCAGCATTCAGACGAACTTACCTTCCTTAACGCCCCCTTCCTCTCCACCATCCTCCTCCTTATCACTCTCCTCATCCCCACGGGTCAGCTTCTGCAGAGTGACCAGTTGGTAGTAGAGTCCCTCCTTGTTCATCAGCTCCCTGTGTCCACCCTGCTCCATAACCTGGCCTTCCTGGACCACGCAGATCTGGTCAGCAGACTGGATGGTGGACAGCCTGTGGGCGATAACCACGGTGGTGCGCCCTTCCCTTGCCTGAAGTGACCGGAGGGACGGGGATTTAAATACAAATGTATGAGAGGATATGATCGTAATACATATCATATTCTGATCTGAGAAAAAATCGCCACTTTAGATGAAATTAAAAGGGACCATTCCCTTAATCGTATCGTACAAGCAGGATCTATCTACGGATTCTCGCTAAGTGGCATTCAGTTTAAAGAGTGCACGAAAGTTAATTACCCCCTAGCAGCTTCAGGGGGCGTGGCAGACATTCAAGCCCCTTAAACTGAATGCAATTTAGCGAGAATCCACTTAGATTTAGATCGATCTTGATAGTACGATAGGGTTATGGGAACCCAGTCATAAACAGTCAGGCAGTCAGACAGATTGACTGAAATATGCACGGATTGACAAAGCTACATGGATAGTTAGCTAGCTAGAAAGATGTCATTGAAAAAATAATAAAATGGTCGATAAATGGGTAATTGGAATTTGGTAAAATAATCAGTGAATGAATGAAGCAAAAGTGATAGGAAATAGATGAGAAAAGCAGCAACGTATACAACAAACTATATTCTGTTAGCGAACTGAAGCAGAGTGGCGCAGTGGAAGTGTGCGGGGCCCATAACCCCGAGGTCCTAGGATCGAAACCTATCTCTGCTACAAACAGGTTCTTTTCGTAACATAGTGCACTGAACCTTAGATAGTTCACCTTTTCTCAAAGCGAAATTTATTACACATTGTGTTGGTTCTGTTTTTTTTTTAAATCCAAAGAATAATAATCTCTTGGTGCGTTTACAATTGTATGTGATTATACAAATAAATTACAAATAAATGAAATACAAGACATCAATGCAAGTCGCTGTATAGAGAACCAAAATGATTGATTTCGATATCCGTATGAATATCAACTCGATTTCCGAAAAGTACCTTATCCAGAGCTGCTTGTACCACAGCCTCGCTCTCGGCATCCAATGCAGAGGTGGCTTCGTCTAAAAGCAAGATCTTGGGATCTCTGACCAGCGCTCTTGCAATCGCAACGCGCTGTTTCTGTCCTCCTGAGAGTTGAATTCCTCGCTCACCGACCAGTGTGTCATAACCCTACGAAAAGAAGGATTTCGCATGAATTCGTATATTTTCAAATTGACAAAACATTCCCATACCTTCAAGATTAATTTTATAACAGATATAATCAAAGAATGCACAATATACAAACAGTTGCACAAAAAGCACGTCTATTTGTTATATAAAACAAGCAATCATCGAGGACAATATTACAGCTGATTTTTCTTCTCGGTTTAAGAAAAACGAGGGGTACATCTTCCCTCTAAGTTAGATTTTGGTAACTGCTGCTAAGAGATAAATTACATCTGGCAGTCTGTTGATGAAGTCATGTGCATTAGCGTCTTTGGCAGCTCGGATGATCTCTTCATACGTGACGTCAAGGCGGCCGTAGCGTATGTTGTCAATGATGCTACAACCAAACAGTATTGGCTCTTGGGACACTACACCTATATTCTGGCGAAGCCATCTCGTGTTCACATTTTTAAGATCGTTGCCGTCCAGAAGAATCTGGAAGTGAAGCAATGTATAATCTTGGATGAACGTTTAACCAGGCTTGGCTGGGGCTGGTTCTTTTCCCCCAGTAGGCCGATAAGACAGACATCTTTTCTAATTTTGAATCTTTAAACATGATTGTGGTGGCTGTTTGTATTTATTTAAAGAAAAAAAGTGATTTATTTTATTGGAAAGGTAATTGAATAAATACACCAATAATTATGTTTCCTAATAAAAATCGTCAATCTCTCAAAGTGAACCGGTACAGCCGGTATGGCTTAAGTATACCGCTCGAAATGAAAAACGACTTATATCGATATTCACCCTGCCTTCTTCCGGATCGTAAAATCTCTGGATGAGGTTGACTGCCGTGGACTTGCCACACCCGGAGGACCCAACCAAGGCCACCGTCCTACCGCTTGGCACAGTGAAAGATAAGCCCTTCAGGATCTAAAAAATGAAAAAATTTGGAAAATCAATCAAAAATTTTTGAGAGAAATGACAATCTACAAAAGACACACAAAAAAAAAAAATTATACATATATACAAACAGAAAGAGAAAGAGAGAGAGAGAGAGAGAGAGAGAGAGAGAGAGAAAGAGAGAGAGAGAGAGAATAAAATCAAGTTGCATTAATTTATCATTTCTGAAAACCAAGTTAAATTTTTTTTTATTATAAAACGTGAACAAATCAGACAGCTTTACATAAATAATTGCGTAAAATAATAATAATAATAATAATAATAATAATAATAATAATAATAATATGAAAAACACGTAACGAAAAGATGTTCACGCGATCACAAACGCCAAGGCACGTAAATAATCACGTAAAGAAAAGACGTGTGAACTCAGGTGGTCACAAACGCCCAGGCACGCCAATACGCTCACGCGCGCTAAATGCTTACCGAATTTATGTATGTAGTGTCCTACCTTTACGTCCGGCCTACTAGGATAGGCAAACTTTACGTCACAAAACTCAATGTTTCCTTTGACGTCAGGTATTTTTATTCCGTCATTGGAACTTGCATCTATGATAGGGATCTGGAATTGGGCATACACTTTTTATAAATTAATTTTCTTTCTTTTTTTTTCAAGCTTGAAATTTATCTGGTATCAGGTGAACATTAAGAATTTTGATTCCCATGTGACAAACTTAAGAGATTTAGAATGTCGTAATTTGAATGATGTACATCAGTTAGCTGAAAAAGCGAGATTATAATATACACGTAATCACGTTGAAAATGTTCTTTTTTAACAAAATGTTTTCTCGCTATCAGCAGAAAAAGCATACCATTTCACAGTTCACCGTAGATATTTTGTGTATTGTTATTGCCAATATCAGTTTAGATATATTTTATTAATTATTTCATGCCTTTTTTATCAAACTATTAATAAAAAGACCTACGTTGTCAATCACTTTGTAGAGAGTGGCTGCGGCGCCTTTTGCCGTGGCTACACTGGCGAGGTGGGGGGCCGCGTTCCCTATGGAAAATGAGCCAATCATGATGCAGAAAAATACCTGAGGATAAAGAAATGAATTCAAGTGTTATCATTCCTATTTTAGTCATGAATACAGAATATGAAGATGGGGGAGAAAAAGGCAACCCCTTACCATCAGAGCGATCCCCTTTCAATATGTCGTGGAACAATCTCTCTCTCTCTCTCTCTCTCTCTCTCTCTCTCTCTCTGTCTCTGGGTGTGGTTTGTAAATCTGCTTGGGTGTGTTTCACTGTTGGTGTATATTAAAGTGTATTTACATGCATGTGCGTGGGTGCACGTGTGTCAATAAAAAACTATAGCATGAACGCCACCTACCGTTAAAGCACTTCCTGGGCTCATCCCATCTTTTCCTAGGGTGTTGTAGAACACTTCTATTAAAGTTGCACCATACCTGAAAAACAATATTATTTGAATGATGAAGATGTCTATTGAACCATATCAAGTGGGTAAACGTTTAATGTCTGTAGACAAAAAACAATTTGCTAAACAGTTTGCTAAACAGAAGAACTGATATCAATAGAAACTACAGTGAAACTGTGTATGTAAAGCGTTCTTTTTGACAATATCTATCGTCGGTAAAAACTAGAAAACGTGCGAGAATCCACGTGAGTTGAGGATTAACTTTGTTGCGATAAGAGCGTGAAGCTATGCGCCAGTGTCAGCTTAGAAAGCATTTCAAAAATGTCAGGCAAAAACGGTGAGTTCGTCCTGTTGTGCAATTTACTGTAATTCAACAGGAATTAAAATAAAACAACCAGATAAACAAGCGTTGCTGCTGCATTGCATGGTACACTAGTCTGTCATAATTTTTAATCACATAAACCTCCAAATTGCGCAGAATCTCGCTTGGTGTTATAATAAGTCTTTAAGATATTTTGGGCGATTCCCATTAAAGATTACTCACCAGAAAGCCAGAGCGTATGCTCCGTAGAGAATAAGAAATGTTAACCCCATGCCAAGACCTGTGACCACTGACTTCTTTACTCCAAGTTTGCTACTGGTCTCCAGTTCTTTATTATACCTAAATGATATATAAATCAGCAATCGGGAATAAAATTATTATTATTATTATTATTATTATTATTATTATTATTATTATTATTTAGACATGCATTAAAACAAGTATATTACGTATTTAGCACAAAAAGTTTGTACTTAATACTCTCTATTTTCCACGGTGAAAATACATCCGATTTTACAATCAAAGATCAAGTGAACGTTGTAGCAAATATCGTACCTACGAATTTCCTTCTTCTGTCCCCTGAAGGAGACTACGGTACGTATAGAGGACAGGACTTCCTCTGCCACGCTACCCGCTGCTGCGTATGCTTGTTGTTCTCGGGTACTGTATGAGGCAATCACCTGAAAGGGGGGGGGGGCATCATATAAAAAAGCTTGTTAAATCAATACCTTGGATAAACAGACAATACACAAGACGACCATATCAAACCACTTTTAAAAAGAAACAATTATAAGACTAACCCGAGCACTTACTAAAATGCCCATATGATAAATATTTTTGTGTTTTACTTTTAGTATCTGATCCAAAAAAATTTATATACCTTCGACATGAAAGCCGAGGCCACCGCCAGGAGTGGAGTTAGGCTCATCATGACCAACGCCATCTTCCAGCCTTTCCAAAAACCGAAAGCGAAACCAGCCACGAATTGCGCAAGAAACTGAATGCACTGACTGAACTTATCCCCCAAACCTTCTCTCACTCTTTCTATGTCGCTGAAAGGACGACGTGAATATTTATAGTCTTACGTCAAAAATAATACTCTAACAAAGAAAACAAAATAATGCTCGAGTACATTATAGCTACCGATTCATGAAATTTATGGATCACAAGAGAAGCAACACATAACCGAAAACATTTCAACATTGATATAACGTAATACAAATATGTAGAGAGAAGCATTCAATATCTAACGTAAGAGACACGCACAGAAGTTCAAATAATAATAATAATAATAATAATTGTTATGTAAAGGGCTAACGCGAATCGAATGCCTTCACCCTTACTCTACGAGTCTTGTCGACAATTCTCCACTAGGATTTTGATCAAACCAACCGATCTCCTGCCTCAAGATGCAGAAAAAGAACGTTTTCCTCAGCTTCAGGACTTGCCTCTCGCAGGCCGACATCCAGCAAGCGATCTGGTGTAAAAATGTAGATGTTTTATGACAAAAATAAATAAATAAATATATAAAAAATACAAACACAAATAATAACCAAAAATAAATAAAAAGTAGGCAGACCTAAAATGCACGTATTCAAAACTGCAGCGGAATAAACGATATACAACAGGAGAATGTCACAGTAATAATGAAAAAGTTTTTTTTCGCTAGTCTTTAATGGCATGTACCTGTAATTTAAAATAAACTAATATAATGCGCTAAATAAAATTGGGTACAAATTCAGAAATGTGAAGATTGGCAGGTATCTTAATCGGTTATTTGCTATGTCTTACCTGGATATAGGACGCAACAAAACAACCGGCTCCAATGTAAACGTATTGTAATGTAAATTTCGTCATTTCTTCGTTGAAGGCTCCTGATGCTGAAATTGGGTTTATCTGTTTCTTAATAATTATTATACCCTGTTACTAGACTCGTGAATATTAAGTTATCGTTAAAGATGGGTTGCGCGTTAAGCGCGTTATTCAATGTATGTACCAAAAAAGATTAAAAAAAAGGTGACATGGTTATTTCGAATTCGGTGTAAGAAGTATAACTGACATCAGTTAGTACACATAAAACAATACTACTTAAAATATTAATCAGTATTCTCAATTTCTACTAGAATTTTAATAAGGTTCGTAGTGAATGGAAATACATGTCTGTGCACCCAACGCATTTATAATTACAGGTACTTTTCGTGCACTTGGTGCTTTTACATGTATTTATTATACATTAATTACATATGTATATATATCTTACATAAATTTCTACAAACAAAATACAACATTTGCCTATTCAATAGAGTCTAATCTACGGTTCCCCAATACTTTGTAAGTTGAACTGAGAGAGAGAGAGAGAGAGAGAGAGAGAGAGAGAGAGAGAGAGAGAGAGAGAGAGAGAGACTTACTGCTATTCATAATAAATGTATCTGTCATATCTCCAAACACTACCATCAACATCGGGAAGGCGGCTCCGTGAGCAATGGCGAACAACGTACCGACCAGTATCAGAAGCACGTCGAATTTCGTTGCATAGCGGAACTGAAACGATACCACGAGATGTGAAGTAAGTACAATAGGTCGATATATTCATAAGGCGCTGTTTATAGCGGAACAATATAGGTCCACCACACTGATGGACAACAACCCACACAAAAGTGTCCTTTCCGTCACATAAAAGAAAAACAGTTTATTGCATTCACTACAAACCTGATTATAATTCTACTAGAAATTGAGAATACTGATTAATCTTAGCTTTTAAGTTAAATCATACAGGTTATTGTTTTATGTGTACTGATGTCATTTACGTCTTACATCGAAATAACACACTATCACCTTTTTTTAAATCTTTTTTTTTTTTTAGGTAAAACGTGTTATTATGACAACAAACGAATGACAGAATGTGAGGAAGAGTGAAAAACGAAGCTTATCGTAATCCAGCGTGAATATTCATCGTCTATCTATATACATTGCCTTTGAAAACGGCACTCACCAATTTTCCGAAAGACGCCGGTTTGAGTTTTTCTTTTTCTTTCTCTTTTCTGTTAATAGAAAACGTAAATATTGTTTTAGTGTCTAAACACAGATGACATGACAAATTGTGTTTTCTGGTAGTAAAACGACAGTTAAATTATCATATCAAAATTGATGGAATATCAAGAAAAATCTTACGTAGCAACAAGTAATGAAGACGAAGAAAGAATAAACGAATGAAATCAAACAGATAATTAAAACCAAACAAGACAAAAAAGTTAAAAAAGAATAAACACGAGGAAATAAGCAAAAAAGAAAGAGAAGACATCATTATGGAAGGAAAGAAGGAATCTCTTTACCCTTCAATGGACACATCAGACGAGGACCCGCTGGATTCGTGTGTGGAGGACCCGTACGACTTCTTGACGACAGGCTCAACTCCCTCGTCCTCCGCCAGGAGGCGCTGCTTCTCTTCTACCGTCGGCGCCATTTCTGAAATGTTTGACAAAGAGTTGGACGTGTTTTTAAGTTAAAAGTTCAATCTCTATTAGTTCAAATGCTCAACGTGATTATTCGAAATGTCATTTGACTGAAGAAGTGTTATATTTATCAATCTGGATAATGTGCATAAAACAAAAAACCTGAGAATAGCTTTGGGATGGAAACCGATCGACTCAAATGCAATTAGCACAAAGACACAAAGAAGTTGTGCAAGGATACGTTGGATTATTAAGCCAAGAAGCCAAACTCTATTCGGTCAAATCGTTATTGTGTTAGTTCGAAATCTTATCAGACTGAAAAATGAATGTATATGCATTCCGTGCATTAACACACACACACAAACACACACACACACACACTCATGTGCAGTTACGCACACAGTCGCGAGCGCGAGCGCACACTCCCCCCCCCCCCCAACACACACACACAAAGACGTGCACTGCATGTATACCCAACAGGTGCAAGATATTGGCATTCACCAATGATTCTACATAGCAGATGTAATTAGTATTTTATTTGGGAAATTACACAGCAAGTAATAAAGAGGTCATTATCTAGACCTGTTACGTGATCCATATATCTGAGATTATTACCTTTAACATATCTGCCTAACGTCACGTGACCCAAGTTATCCATTAACAAAATGTACTTAATTGTTGCCGTCTTATCAGTGACCTCTATTGGTAAGTGGGGATGTCACCAATGATTTACTGGTAAAGATCGCGCCATGAACTAAGTACTGGTATTAGCTAGGGATATCAGCACAATGCATCCTTGTTAAAGGAAAAAAACACCACGTTTTTTCTTCTAATAAATGGCACAAAATCAAAATGACACTAAATCAAAAACCAAAACATCGATTGAAAACGATGCACCACCACACCTATTTAGGATCATTGTACGCCGTCAAGGAATCTGTTAAGACAATTAATATCTAATTTAGAGTAGAAATCGACAAGCCCCCACCGTATGACGTCACTCAGCACTGGTTATTAAATGAACACAGGGTTTACGAGTCTGAATGCGAGTATAGTGCAAAGCTAATAATAATAATAATAATAATAATAATAATAATAATAATAATAATAATAATAATAATAAAAGTAATAACAGAATGAATAAATAAATCCTGGTACTTGTGAAAAAGATAAAGCCTGTCGCTTACATGTGTGCAGCGACACTCACTTGTCTCAGAACGGTTTGCAATAGATGACAAAAAAACCGGCATGTTTTATGCCCCCGATTTAGGCTATATGCAGACGTACTGATCCATGCGACCTCTGTTAAGTTAGTCCCGTGTTTGAACAGATCGCTCCAGTGCTATTTTAACCCCAGTATCAGTATTTGGCTTGCTATTAAAAATATGTTGTTTTGAACGAGCCGGTTTACTATCCTAGTGCACGTTCCTAAAACACTGCAAGAAAAGTGATATTAAACAAATGACACTTACATATCTCAATCTTTGTGTCAATATTTAACTTGCCATCTAGCATCAAAAAGCGACTAAAACATCCAATGCTGTAGCTAGTAGAATAGTATAATATGTTGCTTGTCTTAGAAGGATAGCATACTGAACTGGTGTTACAAGTGCATAATTAAAGTAGGCCAAACAAAACATTAGGCTTCTGCTTTAAAATGTTTTAAAGTTTTGCGTTAAGCAAAATGCGAAGAAAAAAGTGCAGAGGTCAAATACGCTATTATTTACTCAGACAACTGGTTTCACAGTGTCTGCATTATTGTAACGTGTTACAAAAGATACACGCGATTAAGTCTGATATGTTGACATCTCAAATGCTAGATTTAAAATATTATTATATTAATTTAGACTAAAATTAAATGTAAAGTGCACCTTGATCCACACGATAAAACACTGCAATAATAAATAAAGTTGTCCTCAGCACTACGCTGATAAAATACCGGTTTACATACCAAAATCAAATTTCCGTATTGTTTAGCAAGAAAAGAACGCATTTCTTACATTACAAACTAGGCATGTCGCTTAAAACCGTTAAATTGAGGCGTTATTCGAGTGAGTTCTCGCACACACACACACACACACACACACACACACACACACACACACTCAAAGAGAGAGAAAGAGAGAAAGGGGTGGAGGGGGCAGACCGTATATATCTTTAGCTATGTTATGTTTTAAATGTAGGTACCTTATAAGCGCATCACTTACCTGTTGAGTCAGGTACAAATACCACGTAAGTCCTTAATTGTACCTTTCACTGACTTTAACCTCCTAGTGCACTTAACCGATTCAATAAATGCAGCGTTATAGTTAAAGCAACAACTTATGTTTGGTGAGTGACAAATTGCGTTCACACTTGCTCAGCAGCTGGTGTTTCTGTCAAGTCTTCATTAAAGCACAAATCACAAATCTCGCGCTTTTGAATGAGCGCCCGGTGAGAATACCGTGATTCATGCACTGTTCAAATCAAAGTGTTATCTGGATATAATACCATTAAGCAGAGTAATCGTATTCACAAATTGCATCACAGACAGAAATAGTGCTGATCTATGCGTGTCAACAGGTAATGTACGTATTCACAGTGGCCTCTTTAACGTACAGAATTGCAATAACCGCATCCGTATCTAAGGTCTGTGTCACTTAGTTAAAAACGAGGCAAATATATGGAGAAAGGCCCAGCAGCCAGTCAGATAGACTTTGTCATTCTCAAGGCAAGTTAAACAAGTTAATAGTTAACTTAAATACTGCCATTTATGGAGTGTGGAGAGGATTGAGGTTATAGAGATAGCGTCCAATACGATAATAAGAGTGACGTCACACGACCATTCAGTAGAGACCGGATAATAAATCACTTAATCGCTGACATAATTAGATGGAAATAGGCCTTACCTAACCAGTCGGATTTACTTGTAACACACACACATCGAACGACGTATGAGAGAGAGAGGGAGAAAGATAGAGAGAGAGAGTTTTCATCTTTCAAAGCCAACTTCACATAAAAGTAAAATGCCTGACCAGAAATCCTATATATACACAGAACATTTGGAAAAGATGTATTCTCGTTCATCACCATATGAACATCTGAGTTGAACATGGCGGTATAATTGTCAAAGTAGTAATCTGAAATGATTCAAGATTCCCGATTGATATAAATCGGCAGTTATGCTCTAAGCTATTACGTTTTAAGGATTTTCATTTCTCACGGAACGAAACTGCAGCTGTTTTATACCTTGCGCAAAATCTGTATGATGACAGACTAAGACTAGAGCTCCTTTTGTGCTTCTTGCGACATCACTTGGTAAAATTAAATGTACCCATTTCGAATCCTACATAAATTTGGAAAGTCCACAAAAAGATTGCCTTGCATCCCCTTGCGAAAAATAATTGCTGTCCCTTGGGTTTGTTTTGCCAGTTTGCTTGTCTTGATTTAATTTAATTTTTTTGAGGACCAAACGCTAAATTCCACAACTCGACTTTCTTTACTCGCCTTCAAAACACCAGTTAATGATCATGATTGAGCAAGGTCGTAAATGTAAATTTTGAAAATATGGAGATCAAAATAACGCTTTTAATGGTTGCTGTATGACATAGAATCAGCCATGTATTTTCGTTGGGCTGAGACCACCAATAAAAAAATAAACGACCCTTCAACAAAACAACTAAATAAATATATGAATAAATAAATAAATGTCTTTTTGCAATTTTCCCACCTGATTTATTTTCATGTACTATAGTGTCACATGTTAAGGAGAAAAATGATTCCGGAAAACCCTGGAAATAACATCAGGTGATTTCTTCCTTCGACGCGTGCATTTATCAATCACAGAAAATCGTTATCTTAGACATATTATTTTCTTTTTATTCATATATTTGATAACTGTAATTAATGCTTCTTATTGGCATTAATGCAAAACATATAAAGATGACTAAGGGTAATACCTTGACCAAAAAAATACTAGCCAAAAACACATTGAGAGATTTTGAGAATAAAATTGAGTATACTAATGGCAGCTAAGTGATGACAATTCCATACATACATGTAAATATTTCCTGGGCACAGTAGAAAAAATGCACAGAATGAGCCAATGGCATATATGTGAATGTCTAGTAAATTATTTCTGTGGCCCTGGTAGAGGAAGGTTATAAATCCCAGGTGCAGATTGAGGCCGTCTTCTGGGTCTTCCGCAGGACGATCAGATTTTCAAGTATGCATTGATGGGTATATTTTCTTTTGGGAGATGGTCAAAAATGGAGGATGGATCAACAAAGATAATTTGGAAAACTGTCTGCAAATATCTCTGGATCTGCCCCTGAATCCTTAAAGGTAACTTCATGCAGCTATATAAAAAATTAAATATTTGGCACAGGTTTGAAGATAAAATATCACCAGTCACCACCTTCATCCAAAGAAATCATTCAGTAATTTTTCAGTATGTTTGTTCATAATATTGGGGTCTCATTGCCAATCCTCAAATTTTTGGCCTGTAATGTTCGGCCTGCCATGAAAGTCCTTCCCTGAGTGTTGTGTTAACATATCATTATCATCAAACTTTTTAATTTATCCTAAGATGCCCTGTTGTTCTCATTTAGTTTGTTCACGAAATTGAAATCTGACAGTTGATCCACCAAGTTTTGGTCCATAGTGCCCCGCCCAAAACTGAAGGTCCTTTCCTGAGTGCTGATACCAGATGTACCTGACACCTGGTGGGTAATTTTGAAACTTGTGCTCTATCTGTAACAAAAAGTAACACAATATTAATAGTACACCAGGTTAAGAATCTTTGTCTATTTTATCAATTTATATTCTATGAAATGAAAAAAAAAATGCCTTCTAAACTGATATACATGCCAGAAAAAAAACTCTCATGACTGTATCACAACACATTATTAAGTGATGGCCCAATATCATAAATGGAACAATATCATAAATAATATACTATCACAACGAACACAATATTGCATTTCAAATGACACAATATCACACCACAGGTAACACATTGTCACAACTAGCAGAATTTTGCATTACAAAGGACACATTACCACAACAAACACAATATCACACCACAAGTGACACATTGTCACAATTAACACAATATTACAAGACAAGTGGCACAATACCACAAAAAGCATCAAATAATATTATCACATCTAACTCAGCATCACCTTTTCCCAATGCCCTCCTTCCCATTGTTCAACATGTCTCTGCTTGGAGAACTGATCCAGCACTTCCTGCTTGTCTTCTCCCAGTAACTGAACATGAAGTTTGTATGTACTGCCACAGTCTCTTCTGGCTGCTGTCCTGGAAAGTTGTGCCAAAAATTATTAATTACTTAATTAATTCTTTCAGCTATAAGTTCAGCAATGAGTTTGCAGGAGTTTGCAAGAAAAATTTTATTGTTGTTAATTCGCAGCCATATTGCAGGAAATTTGCTGCAAGAAGGAATTAATTGCAAGTTGCATTTTTTCAAGTACTTATAAATTTAAATATTGACCTACCATTCAGAAATGTAGATGTCGGGTTTAATTTGGTCCAAGACAGCCCCAGTACACCCTTCCTTTAACAGATCAATGAGCTGGTGCTTTACACACCAGCCATATGAAGTGGCCCAGCAAGTTTCATAGCCTGAAACAATAATAGTACATGTATCTTTTTATCTCAACTAACACAATATAACAATATCAGGTCGAACACACTAGCAGTAGTTTCACAAATCACAAAATGCCATGGCAAAATTTGTGCAACATTTGAAAGAAAATAAATACATGATAATAATCTGTGTGTCAAAAGCTGTCAGGTGTGTCACTTTAAATCAATCTTGTTATAAAAGTGGATAACCTAGAGAGTTTGCCGATCAAAGCTTTTTGGCCCAACAATCTGATTAGAACTTGAATCACTACTCTATTTAGAATTTTCAGTTTGCCAAAAATTATTAACTTAGAAAAAAAAATTGTTAGAATTTTGTACAAGAACATATCATTTCTACACAAAATCTGACCTCTGGCCTAAGGTTTATTTATTCACCCTCTGAACATGATGTGATGGCTATACCAACATTACTTCTTATCAGTTACTCAAGTTTTATCTAATATCAATTTTGATTTACATGTACAATATTTTGCAAATAACTATAATTAATCACACTTTCAAATAAAATCAATTTAAGATTAAACACAATCAAATGCTAATCAATTCCATTGTTTGATTTTGACACAAAATCTGCCTCTTTAAAGCAAAATATCCTTTCCAAGATAATCAAATTCATGTCCTGCTATACCCTCTTCCTTCATTCCATCACAAGGATAACTCCCTGGGGCACATGGATTAGAGGTCTCTACTTTAAATTGATTGCCACCATTTTCTTCTATGGTCCAATGAAGTTTGCCATCTAAACATAATTAATCATTGAAATAACTGAGAGATGTCCAGAAATTATTGACTGGTAGATTTTTCTGACAGTATGTTTTGTTAAAGAACAATAATTAACAAAACATACTTTAGACAGGTAAAAAGACAAGTATGTCTTCTGCACAAGATGGGTGCATGAAACACACATGCCTTTCTATCATAATATAAATGATACAATGATGCCATTGTCTCTGAAACATAGTTTGCACAAAAATATATAACGTACATTTTTCAATTTATCTCAGCAGATTAGATTCTAATTTTTCTGATCAAATCAAAAATATCAGAGATAATAATAATAATAGAAACACTTCGATACAAACATGGGAATCATTTTTGTGAACTACAATGGTACCAAATCAGAGACAATAAGACATTGTACACTGTATAATCAGGGTTAGAATTCACAGCAGCCCAGAGATCACTTTAATTTATTATGTGGCAGCAGCTTTTTCACAAGTAAAGGCTTCCTAGTAATTGGGAAACGATGCTATACTGGTAGCTAACAATTAAATTCCAGCTGTGCACAAAAACACCTGAAAACCCTTCTGTGCAAACTGTAACAGAAACATGACCTTTCAGGAATGAGCTGATCTTTGGGCTAGTGCGAGAAATGATAATTTGTTAAGTCTAACCCTGACATGATGTCAACCCCACACTCACCCTCCTCGTGCAAACAAGTAAATGGATCACAAAATGTTGACTCTGTCTCCACTGTGAACCTGTCCCCACCATTCTCCTCCACCTCCCAGTGTAGTAGATCATCGTTAAGGAGACAAGTGGATTAAATATTTAGTGCACACAACACTGTTTACCATTGTAAAGGAGAGAAGATTACTATAACTCAAGTTATTACATACTGTAACTCAAGCACAGACATTACCAGTACTAGTAGACCATCGTTTAGTGGTAAACTATACATCACTTTAAATCCCCACACTGTTACTCCCCTGCATCATAACTCCCCACTGTTAATCATTATGTTTTCTTTTAAACTTCACTGTAAATACCAAACCCAAAAGAAACACATTTTTTTAATTTGCCAGTCAAAAACAGATGAGGGGGAGTACCAATAATGATACAGGCCGTGATGGATGATATAATCAAAATTTTGTAAGGGGGAGTAGCAGTGCCAGGAAGAAATGGTATTGGGGTGTAATGATGTGGGGATGTAAAGCAATGACACCATTCATAATAAAGACATAGTGCTCTACAGAGGGTACTGTACCATGTGCTTGTACATGTCCACTTAATGGCCTGTCCTGGTGACTGTCTTTTATTTTTATGTCTGTACTACTCTTTTTTTCACTTTCTGCAGTACAGTAATTGAATACATTTATGGTTTTCTACATACAGAGTACAGAGGTACAACGTACAGGTACTAGTACAGTACACACGTACATGTACGTACAGGTACTGTACAATGTACACATGTACAGTATAAATCTTCACAAATACGAGTAATTTAAAATAGTCCAGCTGTAAAGATTTTACCCTCAATCTAATAAAGACAGCAACATCAATTACCTTTTCCACTCGGGTTTTTGACCAGATTTCTGTTATATGGGTTTTTGAAGTAATAGTCCTTAAAATCTGCTGGCGGCGGACCCATTAAACGTGGAACATAAAACCGCTCACGTAAGCATTTCAGTCGCCACAGAGTGTTTCCGTCCACGATGTCTTTCCACTGATGACACACAAGACGACAGGTGTTAATGAGAAAGTCCGCTGGAAGATAGGATAATACACCTGTCAATGATTCCGGTGTTAAGTTTGTCAAATCGAGTATATCACACGATAAACCTTCAGCCATCGTGAAAAAAATTGACTTCCTTGTTTTCTTTCACTTTCATCAACTTCTTTTACAAAAGATCGGTTATTTCGATGACAAGCTTAAACTAGCGTTATTAATCAGTAATTTAATTTATAATTCGGTTCAAAACTTCAAACCACCTACATTAAATAGAAAGCGTAATGCGAAAATGGCATAAATTTTATCTAATAATGGTGATTCTTTAATACAATTTTGAAGCTTGTCTTGATAAGCTGACGTCATCAGACAACGACAGTAAACAATATGGCGGATGGTTGACAGGTGCGAGCATATACGTGCAGAGAAATAATACTTTACCATGCCTGGAAAGAAGAAAGGAAAGGGAAAGAAAAAGGGTAAAAAGGGAAAGAAGTCAGGGAAGAAGTCGAAGTCTCCGGGGGCCGAAACACCAAGACCCGATCCCCTGACGCCCGAAGTCGCACAGCCTTTTGTAAAAATAGGAGAGAGCGTAAGTCCACATTGTGGAGTTTGTCTCCTTACCCCTATGGAAATACTTAATAACACATGATGCAGGTATTCTTGGCATGCTATATATTTATGCAAACATGGTTATGGTTATACATCTAATATCTTCAGGTCTGTGGGAGCAATTTCAAAGAGGAGGGGGCATTTTTCTTAAAAAACTTCACCCTATTTTGCAATTAAATCTACGTTTGTTCATTAAAGCAAAACCAATTTTTATTTACCAGTGGTCCTATCTATGGGAGAAAGTGTGAGTCGTTTGGAATTCCCCAACCTCCTTGCCTCAGTTTTTGGCCTTACTGGTGTGAGTACTGCACGTGCTCCCTCAGTACTACCGGTACATGGACTAGAAGTATACCAGGGTACACTGTGCATACATGTGTATAAAGGTACTAGTACATGTACATGTACCAGTGCATGTAGGTACCGGTATGTACCACTGCAATTGCCTATAGCATGTAAGGGCTAAAACTGAGGCAACCAACCCTCTCTCTGCCCCCTCCAATACTGGTATATGCTATGTGCTAATATAGTTATAATACTAGTAAAATTAATATTCATGGAATATTCAAGATTATTTACATTTCTACTGAGCAAAAAAATATTGCACAAGCACAGGATATTACTGGAATAAATGCATTTACTCATTACTTTTGAAAATTAATATGTAGTACGAGTATAATTGATTCTTTCTCATTGTCTGCTCTTGCACCAACTGAACTGAACTAGTTCTCAGCACAAAAGTACATGTTACACACTAGAGAAAACTGCAGCTTCAACAGTACACATACCAGTATATATACATCATATTTCATTGAAAGCATTTGTATTTTTTTCCTTTTCAAGCTGGTGAACCTGTTGAAAAAAAATGAAGTTAGTGACAAAGAAGTCCACGGTGTTAAAGTCTCAGGAATAGTTTTGGACGAACTGACGGCACAGGATATCAGAGACCTGAAAGTCATATTTGATGTCTTTGATTCGAATAGTGATGGGTAGGTCAAACATTGTGCTTAGCAGTTATAATGCTATACATAAAATTATTAATTATTACAGGTATTTATTTTATATTGTTGCTGGACTACTACTGTCTAGTATTTTTGGGCACATGAAACAAACTCTACAAGATCATAAAATTGTAGGAGATAATTTCTCAGTCTTCCAGGTTGCAAAGTTTTTCTGTACATTACATTTAACAATATTAGTACAAGAACCTACTTGTGCATATTTTCAAACAAATCACAGACCCCTTTTGCTACACATAAATACTACATTGTACTTTTAAAACCAAAAAAAAAAAACAGTAGATCATCTTTTGATTATACTTACTGATAACCTTTGGAGTGATTGTCAGTATCAGATAAAACCAAATAAACATACTTGGTATTTTGACAGTTAACTTATTATACATGGCATTCTCACATTCTTTTTATTTTCCCTAGGAGAATAAATGCTATGGAACTCCGTCGAGCATTAAAAGCACTCGGGTTTAAAGTGACCAAAGTGGAAGCTAGACAAATGATACAGGAAGGAACTGTGAAACACGGAGCGTGAGTAGAATACAGGACCATTCCCAGACCCTATCGTACTAACTGTAGATCAATCTATCTCCAAGGGGATTCTCGCTAAATTGCAATCAACTAAATTGGCTTAGATGTCTCTCATGCCTACTGAAGCTGCTAGGAGTAATTAATAATTATTTAGCAGCTTCACTAGGCATGCAAGACATCTAAGCTGCTTAAGCTGAAAGCAATTTAGCGAGAAAACCCTTGGAGATGGATCGATCCTGTTAGATCGATCTAGGTATGGGAACCCAGTCTTACACATGTTTCTCATAATGCTAAAATGGCTGTTGTTCTGCCCTGTTTTAGCTTTTTAGCCTGGGAGCAAACCTTTTTAGACTCAGCAATATGGGAGAGGGAGGGTGGGAGGGCAAATAACTCTATTGTCATGTTGTCTACTTGAAGTTGGGCATTGGTTGACTGGAGTCTAGTACGTAAGTGGGTAATTATTGGGACTGATGTGGTTTAAAAGTGATCAATCTAAAAAGATAGGCTAGAACTTACTGGATTGATAAAGAAAAGAGGTACTGCTTATTTGTTTGTATTCATACATATTTTTATAAGCTAAGTGAAGTACTAACTCAGATAATTATACCTATTTCAGCTATGCATCTTTTAATGACTTCCTAGAGTTTGTAATTGGCAAGCAAGGGGATTCTAGAGATGTCCATGAAGAAATTGTCAAGGGCTTCAAGATGTTTGATTATGGTAAGTTGAACTATGAAATATATATTTAAAAAAAAGATACCTGGTACATACATCAAATTACATGTATCTTACAATTGTTAAAACATAGAAAATAAATAATTGAATGAATAAATAGATTTGTGTTGCATTTGCTGGAAATACTGTTGTGTACTTGTGTAATATATCAGCAATTTTTACCCAGAATTTGACAATCCAGAATTATACATTTAAAAAACACTTTCCAAGGCAAAATACAGCGTAGGTCAGATACAATCTATTAAAAGTATAGCTACAGTATTTCTTATTTCATTATTTTCAGACAAGACAGGGAAAATCACTATGGACAACTTAAGAAGAGCATGCAGAGAGGCAGGAGTCAAGTTTACGGAAAGAGAACTAACAGACATGGTGGATGAGGCAGACATTAATGGAGATGGAATGGTGGACGAACATGAATTTATAAGAATCATGCTGCAGACTAATTTGTTCTGTTGAAAAAGTGACTTTAAAAATATTCGTTCTTTTTTAAAACATTGATATCATTACTGGACATTGTCACCGTAGCATTATTTTACATATGGTGATACATTGTTATGTACCTCTTACATATGCCTATGATGAACGTCCTAAACTTATATAATTTTGTACGCTTAATTCAAGCGTGGGCTCGAAATAGGACATTACGTTTTAGACTAACTTAGTGGATAACCCCATCTGAAGATTCCACGGTTCGTGTCAGATTTACGTAAGGTCACGCAAAGGAAACCCAAGTACACATAATGACCAGTTAAATGATTTATTCGTTGACGCTAGGTAACTACATATTCTAAGTGAAGCCTCCAACTCTTAACTTGTCAGCTCCGTACTCCATCGCTTCCAATCTCCTCCTCCGCTGCTTCCTTCTACATCTCTCCCGTATCGACATGTCGAACCCGACAACATGTACAGTTGTACATGTACCAGCTACATGTACATGTGCTAAGACAGCTTCTTTAAAATTTTAAAATTTGCATGTGTTTTTGATTACTAGTACATGTATGTTGCAGCTGTAGAAAGGTCAGTTTGAAGTTGTAGATTATTTTCGTCACATATTTTACAAATAAATTTCAAAATATGTGAAACTTTCATTTACACATACATTTATACTTGTGTAAAATTTTAGGATAACAATATGATACTATATACACATACATGTATTTATGCATGGTGAAAGAAATATATATTTTCACCATGACAAATATTTATAACAAGTTTTTAATAAAAAAATTATGAAATCCATTGATTTTATTGTGCAGTGACACTGTGCCTTGAAGTTGTGGAAATAAATAAACATCTACACCTGTACCTTCATACAGCTATACCCAGAACTTATAGAGTTTATATTGTGCAAAATTTGTAAAATGAAATCTTTTGAATTGGGAAAAACACATTTGGGGAAAACTTTAGAAGATCGGAGAGAACACCGTATTAAATAATGTAAATTGAGCCACAATAAATATATCTTTCAAAATTCGATCATTATTAGAAAGATTGTGATAGCTGTGCCACATTCTTTTCAATAACAGCTAGCAGTCTGTCCGCAGATCTTGCATATCAATGCGTAAGCGGTGATCATTACAAAAACACTTACGCGCTTGCACAAAATAGTCCGCGACGTGTGTTTCGCGCCATGTTTTCAAAAATCCGTAGTTGTTATATAAATCCATGAAGCTCTGTGAATAACTCATTATTCCGCTTGAAACTTTCAAAAAATAAAATTTAGAACTTGATGTAAACGCACAATGTAAAATAAACATTTCAATTTCGACGAAAGCCTTGTATCAGTTGTCTAAAAATAGCACACGCATTTTTCTCAAGCAGATCGTGTAATTTTGTACCCTAAAATGAAATGATTGTAGAAAAAATGGACAAACTTACTTTATTGATATTATAACGATTTATGCAACTATATATGCTGGACTTGAGCCAGAAAGAATAAAAAATTTGTACAACGGTCCTTTTTTGTGAAATCCCTATTTTAGTGCAAACTATGTAGGTCAGGCGAAACTGGGACTGTCACGTTGCACTGAGCAAGTGACTGAAGAGCGTTTTTCTCGGTAAATCTTGCATTTCGGTTGAAAAAAATTGGATGTTCAGCTTTTCAAGTGTATATTTATAGTATACAATGTCTCACTGTCATAGTGAGAGTTGTTATGGAAAATTATACGTGAAAAAACGACATCGGTGCTGGAGATCAACCATGCTGCCATAACATATATCATTATATGGTTTTAGATTTTAAAATGGAAAAATCTGCCTTTCAAGTTACATAGCTTAGGGTTTGCCGACTTAAAGGTGAGTCTTTTTTTTTAACTCACTATGTTTCATATAAGCGCCGAAATGTATAGAAATGATTTTGGAGTAACCTCCCTTCTCATTGTTCAGATGCACTTGTTGACGTTCATTACTAGTGAATGTTACATTTTGTTGCAAAGTTACAGTTGTACTCTGTTTACATAAAATGTGTACTTGCGTACCTTCATCCGTTGTATTTCCTTATCTAGACTTTTTCCAAAATAGAGTGTGTGTGTCTATACACACCTGTTAACTAGCACATTGCGCAATCAGCATTACAGGTGTACTAAATGTCTTTCTTGAGCAGGTTCCAAAGTTGTTTTACATTATAAGTTTAAATATTGTGTTTTTTAACAATTTTTCTCAATTTATCTGAAATTGTTGGTATTAAAATAAAAGTCTTCAAATTAAACAAGTTTTTAAAAAATAGTTTGTCAAGGCACAGCCACACTTTATGACCAATGCACACTTTATGACCTATGCATTGTGCTTTTTCAGTTTTAGTGAAATGTTGACAGCATACCTATCCCTGCCTAAGCTATAGCATGAGAATGGACTAGATGCATGAAATGATGAAAAGATACCAGTTAGACAAAGCAGAAGGTAATTAAGTGTTTATATATATATATATATATATATATATATATATATATATATATATAAAAGCCAAAACTTCTGTATTTTTTATAACTGGCCTATTACTAGTAGTAGGACCAAGGAATTCTTACTATATAGCATGGTAAGAAATTACTTTGATAAACATTTGGTGTGAGACTGACAATGAGGTGAGTTTTTTTAAAAATCTATGTATTTTTTTATTAAATTTCAGTTTTTATCTGCTTTGTATAAATTTCTTGTTTCTACATATATGGTTTTATCATTTTATTATATTTATTTTTAACAGATTCCCAAATTTCATATCAGCTGACAATAAGGGAAGAGGTGTTCTGGTCAAGACCAGGGAAAATTATTTTCCATACGATTTTGTGTGATGGTGCTGTTGATGCAGGTGTGACTGAACAAGAGATGGTGTTTTGTAGAGTCTTGGATATTGTTTACCCTAGACACCTTTCTCATAGCAGACAAGTTCTGGAACATTATTTTCTTCAAGTATTATACAGGATGGGCTTTGACCCAAAAGACTTCATTGAGAGTGGCCTGCCTTTAAACGGCACATAGGTGTCATGTTTATAGTGAATAAAAGTAAAGATATGTGTACTGATTTGTTTCAAGGCTGGAAGACCAGACAAAGATTAGAATACATACAATAATGCTAATTGAAATTGCCTTGTTCAGCCTGTCCACTTCTCAGGTGGAGAGAGGATACAGTGCTCTCAAAAGAATCGAATCTGACTGGAGGTCAAGTTTGGGGAATATTATGCTTAAGTTAACCAAATTTTTACAGCAGTTTTATAGGGGCCAAGTTTTGATGATCATTTAGTCAAGGAATCTATCAACCACTGGGTGGCACTCTGGGAAAACGACCCAATTTTGAACTTGAAAATTGATTTTGTTTTCTGATTGTCATTTCCAGGTAAATGACCTGGCCATTGAAGATTATAAGGAAATAAAAAAAAATTGAAACATACTCATATACTGAAGTTTTGTTTTCATTTTTAATGCACTTTGATATGCATTTAATTACAAGTTATATTCAAGAATTTTCAGCTGGGGATGATCTTAATTGTAATAATATTCATAACTTGCTGGGGCAGGTGCTTCTCCTGCCCTCAGAATAGACGTATCAAGCTGGCCAACGAGTTTATTGGAGACTAGTAAACTGCTTTAATTTAAAAGGCAAAAAGTTTCAAAAAAACTTCAAAAAAGTTCAGTGCACATTCATGAGGCTGAATGAACATTTCCCAGGGACAGTGCTTTAAGGACAAATTTTAGATGTTTACTTAGTTTTGTTTAGCACACAGATTTCAAAATTTTGCACTTTTAAAAAGAGAAATGTAAATTTTAAATAGATTAGGGATATTTTTTCAAATTACAATTTGAATAGTCTTATTTTAAATAGTTTAATATGTAAGAGACAAAAATAGTACTAGTACATAGAAATAAATCTTGAGCAGTAAAATAAGAGAACAAGGCAGAAGTGCAGATCTTAATAATATAATGAATAAACCGGTGTTGAATGATTTTTTTTAATCAAAACCCTTTCAGGATTTAAAAAGTACAACCTGGTCATATGCCAGTGCTTCATTGTAAATATTTATCCAATTTTTAAAAAAATCTTGTTTTATTTATAACTAGATCTAGCAATATCTTTCTATATTGGTCAAAATTCACACTGGATTTCTTGTGGAGTGGATCATAACTATACAATTTTTGATGTTTTAGGAATGAAGCATATAACTCTTGGAATATTTTTGATACGAGATGTACAGCACTTGTTCGTATTTTAATTTTATTGTAACTTGTTTGCTCTAATATTCAGAATATTTAAGAAAACTTGTAGTCTTGCCAAGTCGGGTCAGTGCTTCAGGTTGGTCACGTGACGCTATAAATTATGATGAAAATGGGGTTCCATTTTTGTCGTCGCTTTGGAGATGCACTACTTTCCCCACACAAAATGGGTGAAAATTGTAGGAGACATACCTTATGATATATCATTTGAAAGTTTATGATCTTATCCTCCTGCAGGATGTAATTGTTTGAAAATATTTTGCGTTTCCTGCGATACATAATCACAGTAACCTACTGCACTTGAAAAAATCGATTTGGCCGACTCTTACACCGACTTCACGGGAATATGAACACTTTGCCAACGAGTTGGGACCCAAACGCAACATGTGTTTCATATCAACACAAAGCATACTTGTTTACCTTTTAGAATATATATAAAACGCTGGTGATATCAACATTGTAGCAATTTTGTTTAAATTGAAACACCCTAGTGTCACACGCTTCAAAATTGCGAGTGCTTGGCGTCGAGTTCACCTCGCGCTAAAAAAAATGGACAAAGCTGAATTTTCAATATATATATACTGCCAGAAACCCAGTTTAACCAGCTTTCATGATTTAGTTTTTAAAACTTTGTACAATTTAAACTTCTTATAGAGATCTTCAAATAGAAAATTTCGGACACCTGAAACTGGGCACCATTTGCAATCACCCGCGTGGATATATCTTTCATTTTACCGTTCTGAATCAATTTTTTATGACGACTAACCTTAAAATTTCGAATCCCTAGTTATTCCCGCTTCTTTTTATATATCTATCGTTTAATCACATCAACTGTTGCCAAAATTACACATGAAAATACGAAGAGCTCAAAAGTAGTCCATTTTCACTCGATTTTGCTGAAAGTAGTGCGAAAATGGCCGTCGCTTCAGACAGTGTGCACGCGCAGCTCGAAATCTGCGGACAGACTGATAGTACTAGTCCATTACCTGCCGTGTGTTTAACCCCTAGTATGGCGTCAAAGGTCTGGATGGTTGAACTCTGGGCGGCACTCCCTCCCAAGTACTTTAAAAAATAATAATCATTTTATACTTATATCAAGAACCTGTTTCAGCAAAAAAATCTGTGATGAGTCTAAAATGTAGTTGATTAACATGTAACGAAGCCTAGTACACTGTTGACGGTAGTCAGCCAAGTGCATGTTTATTTAACAGACAGGCCCGTAGCCAGGGGGGGTTCGGAGGGTTCGAAAGAACCGCCCCTTTTGCTGGAAAAAGGTCCACTCTGGATATTTGATCTAGGTACATGAAGTTTTTATGTGAAAAGGTCCACTTTTTCAGAAAAAGTACCCCCCTTTTGAAATTGCTGGCTACGGGCCTGACAGACAATATAAAATTTTGGTTTTGCTCTCTGTTGCCTGCAGTCCTTCCTCACGCGCTGTTCACTATACCAAGGCCACAATTAGATATTTTTCACCAGATATTTATAAATATTTTCTACACAGTTTTCTGTTTGTATATAAATGACATAAACATTCTGCTGTCCCTGGAACAGAGCACTTCAAAAGGAGGGAGACATTTTTCCACGACATAATTTTCTCTACTGTACTGTTCATCTCACTAAAAGAGAATGAATTGAGAAAAAATAAAGAATGGAACATATTGCGTTCAAAAAGTGACTTGCGTCAATGGAGTTAATCGGGAGACAAATCCGCCAGGAGTCGCTGGTGTTCTGGTTGGTATAAATCCATTACGCATGCGCTACTTACTTGTAACGGTGAATCGCTGACACCTTCGTATATCAATCCTTCCGGGAGAAATTTGCTTTGCGCTCCCCAGCTGCAAAATTGTATTGTACAGTGTACTTGTGGGTCAATATGAACATTTTTTTTATCAGAGAAGAAAAAATAAAACATTTTACGACACAACTCCTAATACTTCGCCAGAGACGCGCGGATTAGCAAAAAAAAAAAAAAATAATAATAATAATAATAATAATAATAAAATAAATAAATAAATAATAATAATAATTTAAAAAACAAATTCATTAATTTACGATGTATTTATCATAAAAATATTTTCGTGTTACCAAACATTTAAGACTTATATTACCCTTCGAAAAACGGTCGGAGTTTATTATAAAAAGGCCAAGGGTCTTGTTTTTCTGTAAAAAAAAAAAATGAAAATACTAGCAATTAAGGCGTATGATAACTATATATTTATTATAATTCTTGTAGAATCCTGGGATTTTAATGTGTCAGTTACTGTTATGTATATTATGTCTGCGTTTTACTGCCGCTCACTATAATCACTTGATATAAAGTGGCCACGAAGGGTAAAGTCACAATTATTTGTACTGAAATAGAAATAAACCTATAAACACTTAAGTCCCTACAATTTTTAAATCCACATAGTGACAATACAAACACAAAGCAAAAATGAACACAAACTAATTTGCTATTGCTGAAATTACGATATACAAATAAGCCATCATAACTTTATTTCTAGGTCTCTGATTCATCAGTTGCAAAGCTCCATTTAAACAATTTTCTTTTAACCTGTAAATGTGCATTGCTTCATGTTCTTGTATATAGGCCTATATCAGAAGAATCATCTTGATGTGAATTTAAGTTCACTATTTTTGATACAATATTATAAAACAATTAAAAATACTTTTAATTCTTTGAAAGGGTAACGTTTTTTTAAGTTTTGAATATTTGAATCGTCAAAAAGTAACGATAAATTACTTATCACTACATGCATTTGTTCAACAGAGAGTGTGTCTGTGTGTGTGAGAGAAAAAGGGAGAGAGAGAGAGAGAGAGGACACACATCTATACCGTGCATTCTGGACAGTGTTTGTTGCATCCTCTTAATGGTGTCTGCTATCCCTTGCAAACCTTCTATCAAACCGTTGTCATCACCTGTTGTCAGTGCCTGATATGTTTTAATTATATTCTGAAATTTAAGAAAAACAATTACAGACATCTGTTGTCAGTTGTTAGTGGCATATCGTCCTAAGTTACGTCGTCTGTATTCTCGTCTTTAGACAAGTCCTTGTTTACAAATACAGGTATGGACATTTCTATCTATCCTTCCCATTCAACGCAACTGGTGAACTCTAATCTCGGTATCGGTCTCCGTCTGCGAGACAAGTTTTGTATCTTTGCGCGTGTTATTCAAGTTATTCAATTAAGAGAGTCATGTTTGAAAAAATTCTAATAATTTACGGATTGTCCATTTTGTCAAGTTAAATCTATGTATATAACAGTGGGGATCCTTATGTTTACTCCTGAAGTGACTAAGCTAGAAAACGGGGCCACTACCCCAAACGTAAATACCTTGATTCCCTTGCCAAAGTCAATTTCGATTTGAATTGAAACTATGAAAAACCAGTCGGTGTGGGGAGTGCCGGGCGCGCCGCAAATAAGTTCAATATCGCTGGAATGAGATATTAAAGAATAAAAAAAAATTGAGGTTAGCAACGCTAAAAGTATATTTATGTACATTCATAAAGGTAGAATCATATCATCGTAAAACGCTGTTAACGCCCACAGATTTATTACGAATCAGAGAGCAATGTGTCCGATACCACTAGTATCCAAAAACCACTAATCTCGAAGTCACGAAGACAGGCAAACATTAAGTGCGTGTGTCTTTAGCTCAAAGACGACGGCTTTGGTTAAGTCTAAGAACTGTACAAAATTAGGTCTAACCAGCGCCACATCAAGTTGTTAATTTGGGCGTTCGTGTTCACAAACCTGAGGCTCGTGATGGCAAACAGCAATTATCGTTTACGGAGCCTACGCTTAAAATATGTGTTTATCAAATGAAGTTCACTTTGGCACTAACGCATACCCACAAAAGACGTAATCAATAAAAATAGATGATGTTGAAGATTATTGTGAAGTAGAGACAAACCAGCTGTCTTCCGATTCCTTTTTCCAGTTAGCAAGCATACATGCCAAGTAGCAGTAGACGGGGTTAAGTCCTAGATACTGGGACACGTGATACCATGGTACAGCGACAGCCCTCGGAAGAACCTGCAATATATATAAACATAAACAAATATTTATATACGCACAAGTCTTAGGTCGCATTCAGAAGAGATGATTCTCGGATATACAAGTCAAGTCTGTAATATAATATAATATAATATAATATAATATAATATAATATAATTATTCATACGATGGTTCAAGATAATCCAATGTTTAATGTAACAATACCTCGGGTACCACGCCCTTATCTCTGTCCTGCCAAACATAACAGTGTGCAATTGTAGACAGCAGGCTGTGGGCTAAACAGTACTCTTCATAACTCCTCAGGTGAGTGTAGTCCAGACATGGTAACTGAAATAAAATGGCGAGTTTGAAGTTAGAAAACCTAAGCTTAGAGTCATGGCTGGAAAAATGGGAATTACAGGTGTGAGTTTATACAGTTACACTTCCAAACGAGATTAGTACAGAAACCAAACTGAAAAACTGGTTCATGGATGATATAGTGTTACCTCTACAAAAGCATTTCAACGAAAGGTTTTACGACAACAAATCTCTCTCTCTCTCTCGGTACCTTTTCAACTTGGTCTTTCAGTTCTCCTGCATCCATCAACTTGGCAGCTTTCTTCCCGAGCTGCTCCCAAGGAAGTAAATATTCTGGCAGGAGGTCCTGAAACAGAAGGGTAGAAGGCGCTATTTATTTATTAATACTCCACTTGCCAAAGCCTTGATCGCCATTTTAACACTTCTCTTTTTGGAATTTCCACTGACATCCCCTTTAATTTATACTCTCACAATGCTTGACACAGACGCGTTACAGAGACCATGGTTTGATTTTCGTTTATTTAGGCATAACTTAATTGTGTTGTCCACGTGCATTAGTTTTTATATAAAACTACCGGCACATGTGCATCTAGATGAAACGACAAGTGGCCTAGTTTACTAGGCCGGTGTGAAATGAATGGTAGTCCTAGTAACGCAAGTCCCACCGGACACTAAGTTCTGTAAATTCAAGCCCTAGGTCTAGCGTTTCTAGGAATGGATGCCCTAGGACAAGCGTTACTAGGATTTTACGTCCGTGGGACAACAGTTCCTGAGGAATGCAAGTCCCATGGCAAGGAATGCAAGTGCAAGTCCGGATAGGTCCTCCCAGCGGGCAAATCATGTTGTTTCAACGTTAACAAGACGTTGGATTAACATTGGATTTGAAAATTGGATCATCGTCAAATAACGACGTTGTATCAACGTCAGATAACGACATTACATCAACCCCAGTTGTTAGACAACATTCTTGCATGAAAAGACATAAAAACGACCNAGAAACCCAGTTTAACCAGCTTTCATGATTTAGTTTTTAAAACTTTGTACAATTTAAACTTCTTATAGAGATCTTCAAATAGAAAATTTCGGACACCTGAAACTGGGCACCATTTGCAATCACCCGCGTGGATATATCTTTCATTTTTCCGTTCTGAATCAATTTTTTATGACGACTAATCTTAAAATTTCGAATCGCTAGTTATTCCCGCTTCTTTTTATATATCTATCGTTTAATCACATCAACTGTTGACAAAACTACACATGAAAATACGAAGAGCTCAAAAGTCGTCCATTTTCACTCGATTTTGCTGAAAGTAGTGCGAAAATGGCCGTCGCTTCAGACAGTGTGCACGCGCAGCTCGGAATCTGCGGACAGACTGTAGCGCATTTATGAACTCTTTTAATGTTCAAGGAAAGAAAAGACAAGATACTGAATATTTCTACCTCCTTTTACAAACGAAGCTAAAATGCACGATGGCTCATAGACATTTCGAAGGTGCTGGTCATGTGATTGCATACGCCAAGTATAGACCCCAGTGGACCAAAAACATCGTAGACAGAGTAATAACATATCTCCAGGAAAAGGTATATTGGATTGCATCAGAATTAATTGCTAACTGTCCTGGCTCTATTGGAATACCAGAACAGGTTATATCATAATTTCAGCGTAGTGAAATTATCAGATGTAAATTGTATTGATGAATTAATCACGCAGCTTGCGTCATTGCAGTTAAGATCTACCGGGGGAGGGGGGGGGATTTTTTACGTAACTGCAACATACTAAGTAATAATAGATTTTAAAAATAAAACGATGACACCTTAAGTCATAAGGAATAAAATGAACAATGATAGTAAAATTACGGCAAAGTGGACTTTGCCCAGGAACTTTTTTTTTTTGCAGTAGCATTAGTATTCCATGGCTTCAACTTTTTCACTACTGCGTGCATCTGTCATATTAGCAGGAGGTCTCATCAACGGGATTTTATTACTTTTTTTATTATCCTTCTTCTTATTATTTTAATAATTAATAAATGACAATTATATACAAATTTTTCAGTAGAGAATGAAGGGACGGTCATACTAGTATAAAACATTTTCATAGCTCTATAGATTCAGATTTTTTTTCAAGATTGGAGTGTCCATGCAGCTTTTTAAATCACAGGAACCGTTTTGTTCATATGTACAGTACAAGCCATCTACAGTGTACTGCAGTAAGACTAGATAAAGCCAAACAGCTTTGAATATTTGAATAACATTTTTGTTTGTTTTTGTGATCCTCACATTTTGCACTTTTCCAGCTTCCTGCACCGTATGACCAAGCTCTGGATGTTGGTTGTGGGTCTGGGCAGTTCACACACTTGCTAGCACCGCACTTCAATCATGTGACAGGAATTGACGTCAGCGACAACCAGATACTGCAAGCCAACAACAAGAACGACATGAGCAATGTTAGGTTTAAGTATGTGTTTTGTTTTTTTTGTTATAAATTGTTGTTACCACACACCATAAAGTGCTTGTATAATGAGTATTGCTAATAAAACTTTTTTTCTGAATAGATTGGTGGAAAAAATCAATCATTTGTCAAAAAAAATATGTATATATATATTTTTTTCTTTTCTTTATTTTATTTGATATTTTATCATAATTTATTATTACTATAATTATTACTTGCTGAAGAATTCTATCACTTTTGATCTGATATATATATTTCTTTAGTTAAAATGAAGAGATGCAGAAAAAGCAGATAAAAATTACAGTCTTTCCCTGATTCAATTTTGATATATCTGGCCCAATGGTTATATTTCAGGAAGGGCAGTGGAGAGAGTTTTCCTGTAGATGACCACTCTGTAGACCTAGTGACCAGTGCCCAAGCTGCCCACTGGTTTGACTTGGACAAGTTCTATGCTGAGACTGAGAGGGTGTTGAGACCACATGGCTGTGTGGCATTGCTGGGGTATGCTGTCCCTGTGTTAGACTCCAACCCACACGGGGAAATACTGAGTAAATATATCAGAGATGTGAGTTTTGTGAATAACAGTAAAAGGTTTATTGTTCCATCTTTATTTTTTGCTGTTTGTGTCTGTGTGTGTGTGTGTGTGTGTGTTATTGGTAGCCTGTATTAAAGCAGGATATCAATTTTTTTACATTCTTTTGTTTTCCAGCAACAACAACAACAACAACAACAACAAAATAATAAATAAATAAATAAGATGTAGAATTTTTTAAAAGATTTAGATTTAATAAGACAAATATATGTATTGTATTTGAAAGTTTTTTTTTTTTGACAGACACATAAACACACAGTTAAAAAAATCATGCAAAATCATGGAGCTTAGTCTTCAATGTGATTATTTCATCTGAGATCTATGATCCAGACCCACTGCTAAATGCAAGTTGTTTTCCACACTTGTCCTTCAGTTTTATGGACGCCTCTGGAAAACCTCTTGCTGGGACGAGATGAGAAAACATGTGGATAACAGATATCCAGATGAACGCTTTGCTTGTAGACTGCCACTGAGAGAGTATGTCAGGTCTGTAAAGTTCTGAGATTGCACTCTTTTTGAAAAAAAAAAAAAAAAAAAAAACAGTTGTGATCCAGCAGTAATCTCCTGCTTGTTATCAGTGAGTCATAAGCCATGTTTCCAGTGAAGATGGGTTGACAATACTTGGAGAAATCCATGTATAAGTAGGCTACCTGATACATTCAGCTCGCCTTAGGAAGTACAAATAAAGACATATAAGTTCTGTGCCTCAGTTATAAAAGCAGTGTGTGGGGTGTGGGACAGCATGTGGATTGGGTGTGCTTCCTCTTGTGAACTAAACATAAGTAGATACATATTAGATAGTTTAACATTATGGTGGCAGTTGGTGGGACAGCAGAGCAATTTGAATGACTTCCTATGGTGAGCCAATTAAATTAATAGTAATTTTATATAGTAATTAATAGTAATTAAAGACCCTGTTAAGATGGAAGCGTGGCTTTAATGGACAAATGACTCACTGACTACCAGAGGAAATTTGGAGTCTGAATAGTTTCTGCTTAGAACTTCATTGTGCACGCAACTTACAGACCTAGGCTTTATTCCCATAGATTTTAGATCGATCTATCCCCGCGGGGAGTCTCACTAGATTACTTTCAGATAATCCGACTTACATGTCCGTCCCACCTACTACAAGCTCTAAGGGGGTAATTAACTTTCGTGTCTGCCCGGCTGATAGCTATTTAGCGTGAACCCCCAGGGAGTTAGGTCGATCTAAAGTAGGTCGATCTAATCAATGGAAATGGGGTGCTAGATAAACTTGGGCCTGGTCAGGGTTAAAACAAACCTGCTTCCTAATTTAACTGATTTACTTGTAGTCCTCTTGTCACATGCGTCTTTTCTCTCTTTTAATTTACCTATGCTGATAAGAAGTGGTATAAATTGATAGCTGAATGGCATGCTTCTGGCGTAACCTATAATCTCATGATAATTTAGATGGGGATCTCTTATGGTTACTGTGTGTTCCTGTCAACGTGATATCCTAATGTTTAATTGAATAATTTATACACATCTGGCTGTGGTCCATATTGTTATATGAAACAGTATACTCAGCTCTGTTTGACCATGGATCTACATAATATACATGTATCTGTTTAAGTAGCTACTGACATGACTCCAATATTTTGGGCATGAAGTTAAAGGGATAACTGTTCCTTTTGTCCAAAAAATGGATTTTCCTAGGGTAAATGACAAAGCTCATTATATTTCTGTAAGTTGTTTACAATGTATTTATTGTGAATATGAGGATATCTTACAAAGAGTTGTTATCTCTTTAAATCAGGCAAGTCATAGGTTGTTACCTAGTCTGTATGATATTGTATTCCCCACACTGTAGGTTGACAGAGTTTTGTACAGTGAGCAATGTTGGCAGCCTGGTAATGACCATTGTTATGGTAGTTACAAAGACATACACCTACCTTACCAGGACTTTGTAAGGTATGAAGCCAAAAATAAATAACTATAGTACATTATAATTAATGCATTGATAAATAATAACAATAATGTGTCTTTGCCAGCTGTTTTATTTCAGTTTGTGATCTCTACAATGCATATCCTGCATATATTGTGAACAGAGATAAATCTCCTTCTGGAAAGAGTTATTGAGATACATGTAGTCAGTCAGTTGCCCTTGATACACTGTTGCTAAATTAATGAATCAGCCACTCATTTAGTTGCTGAAGAAGTCAGTCAATTAGCAAATTAAATCATTGAAAATTTAATCAAATTTAATGTTAGTTTGCCATTACTTACAGTAGTTTACACATTAGTCAATCTGTTAGCTGTTTCGGCAGTTAGCTTTTATGTGTATCAGTCAGTAATAAGTTGGTCAGTAAGTGAATCTGAATGTTAATAAGGATATCCTTATAAAATCAGCTAGTAAGTCTGACACTTAATTATTCATTTTTATATAATATTGATGATAGTTATTATTTTTGATCAACAGAAGAATTAAAGCAATGATAAATATTTGCCTTTTTATTTTTTCAGAGATGAGACCTTGAGTATGGAGTATGACACTACACTGGAGCATTTTATAGGCTATGTCAGCTCTTGGAGTGGCTATAACAAATATATGGAGAAATACCCAGAGAGTAAAATACTGGAGGATTTGCAGGAAAAGTGAGTAATTACACACATTTTGGACTAGAATTATAGGGCACATGGAGAAATGTTCAGTAAGTCCTAGATATATTGCATAGTTTATTGACTGTAAAGTTATTGAAGTGGCATTTGGAGAAATATTCAAAGTACTAAACTGGGTAATTTGAGGGAAGGAAGAGAAATTTGTTTCGTAATTTTTAGAATGGGTGATTGTACAGTCAAACCATTAAGGGTGAATTTTTTTTTCAGAAGTAAATAATTTATGGTTTTTAGGTTGTGTTAATTTGGAGTCTACAAACCTCTTAGTAAATCTGTTGATGGTGTATATAAAACCCTTAAAAAGTATATTCTTTAGAAATATTTCTGTTAATAACTCTCATTTCAGCTTATTGAAAACAATGGACAGAGAAGCAACCATACATTCTGAGCTGCACGTGACATTCCCAATCTTCATGTTGCTAGGAAGAAAGCCAGGATCCTAGACCAGAACAGCATTACTCCTGTCTTGGAATTGGCTTCCACCTAGGGTTTATTTTTAATGTTAAGACTAAACCAGCCAGACGTATTTATATCTGCAAAGGGCAGGCTACAGAATATTTGCACCTTATATATTAATAAATAATGGATAATGGATGGACAATTAATTTAAGAGACAAAATGAAAGTTCAACTCAGATTGTGAGGTATCAGTATTAACTAAAATTAATGATTTGTCAGCTCAATGACACGGCTAATGTTAAAAATGCAATTTGTTATTTATTTGATATTTCATTCAAATTGGGTAATTCCAATTTGGACAATGTGCCATATTTCTCCTCGTGGATTTTGTACATTTTTCCATGAATTAGACAATCCACATTGTGTCAACCTTAAGCACATTAATCATAGGAAGAAAGCAAAGTAGACTTTACTGAGGTTGGTTTTGAAATGAAGGGCCGTTAAAGAAAGGATACATTTAGTAAATATTTAATATTTAATAACAAGTCAAATTTTTATGATTTATAATGTATGATGTATCTTTTACAGGTTTTTTACTAAAAATATTTTTAGTGAAATTATAAATTATTGGTTTAAAATTTTACCTCTGTGATTAGTTATAAATTTGCAAACGTTTCTTAAGTTAATATATTTGATTAAAAAACATGCCTCCTTTCTGAATATTCTTTATTTATCCAAAAACTATGTGTTAATTTTCAAGCACATATGTAAAGCCATTAACTGTAAAAATAGGACGGAGTATTTTGAAATCTCTCTCTCTCTCTCTCTCTCTCTCTCTCTCGGACTTTTTTTACGTATCTGACCTGTTCTGACTATGACCGATTTGCTTATGCCTTCACACAAATTAAAAAATTCAAAGTGGCAAAGATAGTGTACGCGAGCCCACCTGACAGTAACTAATTTTGAGGAAATCATTTTTTCTTCACCAATTTTTCCTTTTTTATGGGCAGTGGCTTGTTGAGTGTGAAAAATCACAATTGAACTGGGAAACACACACATACGGGCGCGCGCACGCACGCACACACACACACACACACACACACACACACAATGTTAATGTTCTTCTACTTGCAAACCACCCTAAAATCTGAATGCTATGCACGTTCATCATCATACGCTTAAAACAAAGTTTGCCTGCAGACCCGTTTACAGAGTGCCGCTGCTCGTTTACCAAGTTATCAATTTTGTCCGGCCTTACAAAAGATGTAGCCTACCCTAAGGTACTCGTACCTTTGGTCTCAGTTCTTCACCTCCCAATCCTAGGTCTCGCCTTCATGTTATCTTGGATCCGCCCCTGTCTATGTTAAGACTACTCGCCTGAAAGCTTTTACATGTACCTTGAAGATACACTTTAGGGGATTAAAACCCGCGAAAATCAATTTCCTTCGGGGGCAAAAGCGATGTTCTCCTACTTGCAAACCTTGCGCTTGAGTTCCAAGTTTTATCCCATTTTTATTTTCGTGATTCAGTTCTAAATGTCTGGCGAGTCATTTAGAGCGGCATGTCTTCCTGTACATTGCAGAGAGAACCATCGAAGCCACATTCTGTTATTTGAAGCTTGTAAAAGCTAAGTAGCTGTTATATATATATATATATGGACACAGAAGACATGTCTTTGGAAAATTTTCAAACGCTCACAGTGTACCTATAAGATGAGAATGACACCTGTTATTAGAAACGGATTGGTAGAGCAGCACCATCCCCAGAGATTAAAAAAATAGGGGTCTTAATAAAGCCTTAATTTTCAGTTTCTGTCAGTCTATGACTGGGTTCCCATGCCTAGATCGATCCATCTGGATCGGTCAAACTCCCTGGGGAGTCTCACTAAATTGCTATCAACTGACGCTTAATTGTCTGTCACGCCTACCGAATCAGCAAGGGGTTAAAGCTTTACTGGGCGTGATAGACATTTAAGCCGGTTAAGTAGATAGCAATTTAGTGAGACTCCCCAGGGAGATAGATCGATCCAAATATCTGTGGGAATGGTCCCTATCAGATGTTTCTCACTTTGCCCCCAGTCAGCCATAGCATCTTAATGAGTACTTTAGGGGATAAAGGGCCAGGTATGCATGTAATCTACAGTGTATTTGTTTTTTTTTTTGGGGGGGGGGGGGCCGTCAACAGCTGCCCCCATGGGGTTCCTCGACCTTCGACCCCGAACGATAGGTAAAGGAGATAAAAGGTAAGCCCAACCCACATTGATCTGTGCATGCCACAATTTGTAGCAGAGTCGTCCTTGTAAATTGATATGTGCTTTACAATGGGATCCGTGTTACCTGTGGTGTTTATGTGTATAACAGCTTTGATTTTTACTGGTATGTGGAATATTTCACAATTTGATGTTAAATACAAAGTTGTATATACTTATGCGAGCGTGTACTAGTACTTAGAGGTATATAGGCCAGTTTAAAAGTAATGTTCCGGTAAAACCGAAACATATTTTATAACTGAATATATTTTCATTTCAGGAAAAGAAGCTGAGTCGTACCCTTGTACCAAGCCTCAGTTTAATGTGGAAGACAGTAGTTACTGTTATGAGAAAATAAAAGTTCAAAGAGCATACAGTAATGCCACAAATTATTGTTCGGCGAATGGAGGTGGTCTTATAGAAATCACCTCCCAAGTTATAAACCAGGCTGTTTTAAATGGAATGGAGGTAAACAAATATTACTGGATAGGAGGAACAAAAGATGAGAAAGGAAACTGGTATTGGCCGGAGGCAGGTAAGGAATCACATTATCTTCAGGGTATACGCATCAGTATAGAATACATTGTCTTTTTTATGCTGGGATTATATGTAATCAACAAACGTGTCTTAATTGTTTGTGTTAATGTTGTGTGTATGGAACATGTTTCTGCGTTGGCTCGCCACTTTTGGGAAACGACTTGGGCTGAACCTGCCTATTTTTGCCCCCCCTCTCTATATCGGCACTGTCGATTCAACAAGGGCATATATTCGATCCTTAATGTCATATCTTTTTCGATCTGCCAACTTGAGCAATGTACAAGATAGATTCAGCAATACGCGGTTATTTTATTTTCCAGTGGATCGTTTTCATTCATTTGAGGGCAGGTTAATTTACGTAAATGACAAGAACGGTTGTTTAGAATGATATTTTCTGAAACTCATGGTTACGAACGCACTTCATAAGTACCTTTTTCCATATTAAACATTCAGTGTACTCCAAAATCTAAGTTTAGAATTCTTTTTCCATGTTACCATAAACAGCATGGTTGATTTCAAGAAACCAAGAGACTTCTCTGTATGTTTTTGAGCAAAATTCGTTCATCATTCCAACTTACCGTATGAACTTTGTTTTCCTTTTTCAACCTTCCTTTCTTTATTAGGCCCGACTAAGCGCTTTGATATTTATATAAGTGGTCTTTAATTATATAAATTGTTATTTCCCGCAATTTTATTTTTAATATAGGTTACCAATGGAATTTCAGTGCATTGAGTGATGCAAGGAGTAACAGCAAATGTTTATATATCTCGAAAAGCAACACAGCGGGAAATGGTTGGTTTACCGATTCGTGTGATAAGAAGCACGGATACATTTGCCAATATAGTAAGTTAAATGGAACAAAATGTTGACTTAATTCTAGGGAAATGGCATTTTATGTGGAGTGATACAATCAAATGTGCAAAAAGTTGGACTAAAAGAGACACCAAGCACAATAGAACAGGGGGTAATACGTGAAATTTGGAGGTCGTATTATCATTTGTATTCATTAAATAATAGCAAAAATGATTGACCTTTTTCATTTTAATTGGACGACCAATCTTCACGCGTTTCCTTTCAGAAATGGACTCAGCGACCAGTAGTGCGACAACTGAATCGTCGACTACAAAACAAACTTCCCATCCCCTTTTAAACACAAGCAGTTCCATAACCGTAAAGCAGTCATTAACTACTAGTGCGTCCAAACCACTCAGTTCTTCACTCTCGCCGCAGATAACATCAACTGGGGTTTCCAGTCAAAATACAAAAGAAATAACCCACAAAACCACAAACCAACAACAGGGAGAAATTCACAGCACCGTACACATAGAAACTACTACGAAACAACCCATCGGCAAACAGACAACAACACAACTATCGCTGACAAACAAGACGGACATTGATTCATTGATAGCCGAACTTGCAAGACAATGTGAAGCTGAAAGAAAAAGACAACAACAAGGTGGGTAAAAGTAAAGAAATTACGTTGGTATAAGTTTGTTTATTCTTTTGATGTTTAATTTAGTATTCATTCACATTTGAGATAAAAGTATACACTCCAATACCTGTATATCTAATCAATGTTTGAAAATGTTTGCGGAGGATTTATTTCTTTAAAATGCAACATTAACATTGCCCAACACTGACTGCTCATCAAATTATTTCAACTTTTATCGTTTATCTCCAAGTATGTTTTTTTTTTTAATTTTCGAGAGAGTTGGGTGGGGTCTAGATAACCAGTGATCCTTTTGGTTTGTTTAATGATCGTTCTATTTTTATGTCCAATAGAAGTGAACGTGCGGACCATAGGGTTTAGCGTGGCGCTTGCCATAAGTTTCACGATTAACGTAGGCCTATCTTTTCGTATTTACTGCCTGAGGTGAGTACTAAGTTCTGTGTGCTCGGTAGTCTTTGCTAGAACCTGCTTTTTGTTGTCAAATATGTCAATAAGCTGATCATAACTCGGGTGACATCTTATAGGTGCTTATTGCTTGTCTAAATATCTCAATCATATTTTTCCTCAAAACAACTCAAAACAATTCACATGGACTTGAAGTGAGGACGACATTCTGGGTTTTCAAACATTGACGTAGCGATTTGTTGTTTTTATTATATTCCAAAGGAAAAAGGTTGAAAATGAACATTGTTTTATGTGCCCATTGAAAACATGCAATATAGCACTTTCATGCAAGACGGTTTAAAATAGGATTATACCAGACATACCAAATGTGAGAGAACAGTTTCATTAGCTCTGTATGTATTAATTTAAATTATTGTTTTTCTTTTTATCAAGAGCTTATAAAATATGTGGGTATTACATGTACCTCCAATATTTCTGTGACTGTCAGTCACCATCATCAGGGAGTAAATGACTAGGGTCATTTCACCTGGAATGAAAATCCAGGTCCATTGCCCCTAATCACTGTCATTTACTCCCTGATGATGATGGCTGACAGTCACAGAAATATTGGAGGTAATAACCACATATTTTATAAGCTCTTGATTAAAAGAAAAACAATAATTTACAAATAAATATTACATGTGTTTTTCCAGAAGAAAAAAAAAGGATGAGCATAAAGAAAAAGGCGGACATGAAGAGGATCAAATCGCTGAATTTAAGTTTAACGGAGAGGTTTCTTAATTTCCCTAAGATCGTGACAGAGTTATGTTGATTGTCAGGAAACAAGGGCCAGAGTTACGTTGCTTTGTCGCCATGTTATATTTGTTTAGTATAAGTTTATTTAGGGAATTCTTGCGCTTTGGACTTAACCCTACATCATATTTATCAAAGAAATTAAGAAATTAGAGGAATAATCCTGTCGTACTCTTTGATCAATTTAGAAGACCACACTTTTTGATAAAAAAACAACTTAAATGATATTTTTGAAAGAAAACTGTTGTAGATTTAAGTCGCATATATAATATTGTACTGGACATCAGTTGGACTTCTTTTATCGCCAAATGATAGATTTGTTAACTTGTCATAAAAAGGGCAGTGATATTGATACATAAACATCTCATTCATAAGTACATTTGTACGTTTAATTTCTATATTGTCAAAATAAATGCAAGATTCATTTAAGTAGAAAAGCATCTGTCTCATCAAAATAATTTCAAACATACCCAGTGGCTTGATTGAGTTGAGTTGATTTTTGTTTTTTTTTTTTATAAAGAATGCAACATAACAGTCCAGTTCATACAACTTCCTGTAATAGTTTGAAAATGTCCTTACGTCATCTCTCTCTCTCTCTCTCTCTCTCTCTCTCTCTCTCTCTCTATATATATATATATATATATATATATACTGAAAAAATCCCCTCAAATAAACGTATTAGCACCTGATATTAATATTGCCTTCGGAAACTTCCATGCGGTCTGACTGGTCAGATATTTCAACCTAAATAATCTAATTAGAAATGACAACAAAACAAGGGCAGGAAAGGGTGGATCAGTGATCCATGAGTAGGGAAAATGATTTTTTCCGAAAAAGATGTGATTTGGCTGGAAAATTCAGGATAGGATACCTTTAGCTTTCATCATTACTTTCACAGATAGTTCTTTAATATTGAATGGTCATGAACATGAAATTGATAAGATATTTTTTAATTGGTGGTGGTGGGAGGGGGTCTAAGTCTTTATGATTAAACCGTGTTCTGTGAATCCCGTGGGTGGGGATACTATATTTCGTTTGAAGGGCCGGCTATGTCCTTTTACAATAATATCAAAATTATCACAGTATATACAAATCTTGCCGGAATTCTAAGCTATCTGCAATTGTTCGTTCGTAAATGTTCGCTCGTAAATAAATAAATAAATAAATAAATAAATAAATAAATAAATAAATAAATAAATAAATAAGACTGTGTGCAGGCTTAGTTGGTGGTGCTTTTTTCAAATGGTTGCCCAAGACCATAGTGGTGAGGTTTGGGAGGAGGGATGGTTACTCTTCTCTCCTTTTCTAAGATACCTTCTGTTCTCAGAAGATAGCCCCGGGTTATCTGTAATATCTGAGTCAATATAACAGAGTTCTGAAATAACTGAACTGTTTGCAACCGGGTCAAGCCACGCTACACATTGACGACTTATTCGCAAACAACGCAGAAAACGGCGGTTAACTTAAAATATATAAGAAGTTTCTCAATTATTATACTTTATTCAGCACTTAAATGTTCACAAAGAACATTTTAGAGCTTAAAGACACTGCAAGTTTTACATATATGTTTTTATGGAATACAATGAACTAATTCAAGCGCGAGTACAGTAAAATACGACTACTATCAGTGATAGGTATTTTGTTATCGGGTCAAAGCTGTAAGTGTAAGATCATGGGATGTGGCGATAAACCGCAGAGATACACGCCCCCTTGGATAGATAAGCCAATATAGGCTTTCCAAGAAAGAAGCAGGTATTGGAACCACGATCTTACGAAGCAATGCAGATTAGAATGTAGATGTTAGGATTTTCCCTATAGGGCTTCTCAAAAATCTGAAGTATAGCCAGACAAACTAAACGCGCTACCAGTGTTCCACAGTCTTGTTTTCACCCCAGTGTTCCACAGTCTTGTTTTGAACATAGATTTAATTTAATATTGTCTTTCACATAAGAACAAAGGCAAAAGTGCCGCTTTTCGGAAGCTAGATAAGCTTCCTGAAGAGTACCCTCGCAAATAAATAAATAAATAAATAAATAAATAAATAAATAAATAAATAGATGGAAGATAAAAATTGCATATATTGCAAATCTAAGCACAAGGTCGTAGCCCTCCGTCAGAGCCCTCAGTTTTAAAGCTAGCCAGGTCACTGGAATTTCGCATCTTTTATCAGCATGCATCTGTCAGTAATAGAGTTTAGTTTCCAGTGACCCCAGAAACATGGGGCAGTTAACACCCACCCTATCCCCACCCCAGGAGAGAAGATGTATTTTGGGTCCTACCCTCACCCCTGTAAAGTTTATTCCATTATGAAACCTGTTGATTTTGGCCGCGCGCACCACGATAAGGTTTCAGTTGATATGTTCTATGTACACAAACTCGTGTGTCCTACTTAGCTGTTATCAAAGCGAAAGTTCATCGTTCATATAATGCAATATTGCAAGCAAGCATCTCGATAATATGCTGAAATTTATTTTCCCTGAGAAAAAAATATTTATCTCGAAGCGTCTTTAGTAAAGGCAAATAATCGGTTGCTTGAGACTTTTAAACAGTACGTAATTTTATTATATAGGGTGTATAATGCTTTTGAGATAGGCCCTATAAAAATAAATTATTTCAAAATTTGATTTAAAATATTTCAGAGAAGAATAAACCCACCCACAGTATCTTAAGGCTGAAGGTGGCACGCTACAACTTTGGGCAGAATTGGACCAATCTAGCGGTGCGATGTGTTAGTGTAATTAGTTGTAATTCCCTGTGATGCATTATGTGCTGCCTGCAGCCTGAGTGTGTTAGTTGTGGCATGATGTGATGTAGTATGTGCTGTCTGAGTGTGTTAGTTGTGATCGGATGTTACGTATTATGTGCTGCGCAATCCGGATTTATATTAGTATTTGTGTTAGAAAAAAAGAGAAGAGGCCAAATGGTAAATTATGAAAGCGAAATATTTTTGATTTAGCCACAATGTAACTCACCACAAACGGTATGCATCCTGTAGCCGTTCGGCATGGCTCTCAGAACAACCTACACTGAAAGTGCTCCCCTCATGGGCATAAGAAGCTGTGCGCATTGGAGATAGGCATACTCTTTACGGGACTAACTCACCAAAACCAATTTTCCTCGGGGGAAGGAAAGCATAACTTGACCTGCCCATGCACTTGAATTCTAAGTTTTATCCCACTTTTATTTTTGTGATTCAGTTCTAAATTCCTGGCGAGTCATTTAGAGCGGCATGTCTTCCTGTACATTGCAACAGGAACCATCGAAGCCACATGCTGTTATTTGAAGCATGTGAAAGATAAGTAGCTGCTACATGTTCAGTATATGTACACAGGAGCCATGTTTTTTGAAAATTTTCAAACGCTCACAGTGTACCTATAAGTTTATTGTAACACCTGTTATTAGAAATGGGCTATGTAGCCTACTCATCTACATGTACAACCAAGTAACGTTAGTACAGCACCACCATCCCCGGAGTTAAAAAATAGGGGTCTTATTAAAGTCTTAGCCTTTTAGTTTCAGTTTTGCCTACTGTCAGCTAGAGCATCTTAATGATAACCTTAGACGATAAAAGGTCAGTGCACGTGTTTTTTGTGTGTCGTCGCCATGGTTTTGTCATCCTACGACCCCAATCGATAGATTAGACCAACCCACGTTGAGCACGAGTATCAGAGTCGTCATCGTAAACTGATATGTGCTTTACAATGGGATCCGTGTTACCTGTGGTGTTTATGTGTATAACAGCTTTGATTTTTACTGGTATGTGGAATATATCACAAATTGATGTTAAATATGAAATTGTATATACTAATGCGAGCCTGAACTGGTACTTACAGGAATATAGGCCAATTTTAAAATATTATTCAGTGAAACCGAAACATATTTTTTTATAAATAAATATATTTCATTTCAGGAAAAGTAACCGAGTCGTACCCTTGTACCAAGCTTCAATTTAATGTGGAAGACAGAAGTTACTGTTATGAAAAAATAAAAGTTCAAAGAACACACAGTAACGCCACAAATTATTGTTCGGCGAATGGAGGTGATCTTATAGAAATCACCTCCCAAGTTATAAACAAGGCTGTTTTAAATGGAATAGAGGTAAACAAATATTACTGGATTGGAGGGACAAAAGATGAGAAAGGAAACTGGTATTGGCCGGCAGCAGGTAAGGCATCACATTCGGCTGTGTCACAATCAGGGGTACAAAATAGGGGTCACATTGAGAGAAAAATGAACTCTGATGCATTTGTTTAATTTATGTAACAGATAAAAAGAATGACATCTTAACTATGATATCTACAATTTTTAGAGCACAATATTAATTACTTTTTGTGCTACGCTCAAATTAACAGATTGCCCCTTAGACTATGATCTGGGGGTACGGACCCTACACATTCAAGAAACTGATGCTTTTTTAACTGAAATATCATATTGTTTACCAGTTACTTTTGCCAAAATTCTAAAAAATATCAAAATAAAGATATAACAGCAGTACTTTAACCAAAAGGATACAAGTACATGTATTAATCAAAGAGTTTTTAGAGAAACACCACAGCACGTTTTTCAGTGTATGCTGGAGCTTGGTAGTGTGTCATTCAGTGTGACTTTCATTCACCAGACTTTAATTTTAACTTTTCTTTCTGTTGCTTTACCTTTTTTATTTATTCTTTTTTTGTTTGTTTGTTTGTTTGTTTGTTTGTTTCAGTCTTGATTCCTGTTTTTGGAGTCTTTTCTTCTTTTTCATCTCTCGTTAATTTGCATCTCTTGTTCTACTGTTTTCAGGATTGTTGGGTTTCTGCTTCTCCTTAACTCTCTGTCAGTATGCCCTAATTTCTTCTCTTTACTTTAGTCTTTCTTACTGGGCCAGCCTAGGATGATTCTTCATTTTTTGCTTCTCTTCTATGTTACGTACATTTAACGTATATCGTCTTCCTTACGTACTTCAGCAAGATTATCTTTACGGAATTTAGCTTTTTGACGTCTTTTTTTTTCAAATTATTTTTTGCTGAAAGTAAAATTTTCAGGATCCCTTTTTCTTTTCCTATTTGGCTTTTTGTTTATTGTCATCCATATTTGATACTTCATTCACTGATAGTATTATAAATGTACTGTTAAAGCAATAATAACTCTTTGTTTCGGCCAAAAAATGAATTTTCCTGGAGTAAACAACAATTTTCCCATACTTACCAATGGTTAATGAATCCAT